GCTCGTCATTACGCTTTTGAAGCGATGTTGTTATAGAACATCATGAATATTACGGAAATCCCTAACTTTTACAACATGTTATATAATTTTCTTTACCATAATTTCGGCGGTTTATCTATTATTTATTATACTTATATTCTCTGGCTGTCCGAGATATAACTATATTAGTTCTGTAGCAGGATACCAATCAAGATTGACCACACTTATGGGAGACATTGGATTTCGATACCAAGTCACCGAGACGTGTTTGAGTTTTCTAAACGAGTACACGGGAATAAAGTAAATTTAAATTTAAATGACGTATTCGATAAAAAAAAAAAAAAAAAAATACATTGCACACCAATTTTTTTTTTCTTAACCACTTTTACAATTAATTATAATAAACTTCATGTTAATTTTGAAACATTATTTCTGTTTAAATCATTTTATCTAATTGAAAATTTAAAAAAAATAGAAGACGTCAAATGTCTATAAATAGCTTAAATATATTTTTAAATTGTAACACGTATTATGGAAAAAGCATAAGAATTAATTACATAGGAATTTGGTAAGAATGTTAAGTTTCTACAATTATATTTAACCGAATCGCGACAAAAAAAAAAAAAAAAATAGAAAATATTCAGTTCTTGGACATTAATTCCGATTATTAAGAAAACTGTTAAATGGACAAAATTCACACAAACCATCCCTGAAGGCAGATAGAAGACATAGTCATTATCAAACCAATCATCGATTTACGTTCGGTCGTACAGAATCCGAACGTATTTAGTTAGGTTAAGATAAATATTAATGAACCAAAGTATAAATAATTACTGATTAAGTTTTTGTATTTTTATTTATTTGTAAATAAGTATAAAATAAGAAAAAATGAATCAGAGTACGTTATAAATTTATAATTAAATATTGACTCGTTAAGTTAATTATTATTATAGTCCCGTTCTGTTATTTCCATATTATTATTGATCACAAATATACTACTGATGCATTCATGAATTATTCATGTGTGATGATTCTATTAAAAAATATTTAGCAACTATTATGTAGTATTTTTACCTGCATATTTTTGTTATTATTATTTTTTTGTTTACAATCTAAAAGTATCGAGTGTGAATTTTGTTTAATAACACTGCAGTAAAACAAATCTCAGCAAAAGTGGTCTCTCTGATAAGGTAAAACTTTTTGAGTTATTATTTAATATGATTTTCCCTATATTATAATCTTATTTCAGAATAAAAAAACGAAACTTTTCGGTACAATGAAAATAGTTTTTTTTTTTTTTTTTTTTAAACTACGTTTAACATTTTATATATTTTATTTTAAAACCAAACTTTTACAATAAATGCTGTAAATATTATACTTTTAATTTTTCATAATTTACGTAAAATAAATAAATAATGTAAGATTATTAGTATTATAAAGATTTTTCTAATTGTTTAGTTATTATTTTATTTTTTATATATTTTGTGTGGCGTACAAGGAAGAAAGGGTAGGAGCGCTTAGTTCCGCTACTATTTGATGTGTTAAAATACAAAAACAAATTCCATAATTATGTATTTTACAAAACAACGTACATTACATTTAAATTAATTTTGCTTTAATTATTATGTATAATTGCCATTACTATATATTCATATAAAATATTTTACACGAGATTCATTATAATGATTTAAAAAGATAAAATTAAGTTTTTGTTCACAACAAGAAATCTTATTTCGAATGTCGAAAGTAGCATTTTTTCTGAAAAAAATTGAAAACAATTGTTCAATTGGATAAGAAAAACACAGTTTTTGAATTTTCCAAACAATTTTCATATTATATAAAAAACCATAAACAAAAATAGACGGACATATTTCGAACAATGGGTGGACCACTGAATAATACAAAGAGGGGAATTTATTCTATATCTATAAGCATAGATCATTGCTAACGAAAAACGATTCTGAACGGAGCTCGGTTAATAGTATTGATTTTTCAACAATATATAATATAAGTCATTTCATAGTATAATAAACATATATTGGTTCAATAACCAATTTGTATGGACCAGATTTGTTATAAATAACAGATTTGTTGTAAATGATTTTTGTCAAAATTTGATATTAAAATTCTTCTTTCAATTTATTTTTTTTCGTTTTACCACAAAGTACAACTTATAATTAACTCTTTGATAAATTTTCAAGTATTTCTGTTTAATCCAATAATTTAATCCATAGCATACTTACTAAATAAAAATTACTCATAAAATAAAATATCTATAAATAGCTCAAATATGGCTCAAATGTTTTTAGTTTTATCACACCAAGAAAATGCAAATATCAGTTTTCTGTCAAAATTTCAAGTCACTATGAAAAGTTTTAACTGAATTATAAAAGCACTATTTTCGTAAATTTGTTCGATATTTTATCGTTTTTATCGTTTATCGTTTATAAAACGAGGGCACCAATCTTATACATTAACAGCGAAAACGCTATTGTTTTATAGTAATTTAAATACATAAATATAACCGTAAACGAGCCACGTGTACTTACCTATGTATATGAAATAATAATATACAAAGTTTGGGGTCCTTTTTGTTTTTGAACCCCGCGCGTCTTGTCGTTAACAACGTTACAAATAAGTTTTGTAATTTTGAATATTAACAGCGTTAAGTTACTTCAAAAACATAGTGCACAAACAAAAATCTAGGTAAATAATAATATCGTTATATAAATTTGAATAAGATGAAAAGTTTTTAGGTGAAATTGCTTCGCGCAAGACAATTGGTCTAAATGATATTGCAATGATCATATTATACCTGTATAATGTATATACCGGCTTTACTTGGTGAAAATAGAGAGGAGAATTGTTTGTTCCTTTATTTAAAACTTTCATTAAAACTCGTATCAAAATACACAAAAAAAATATAACAACGTAGGCACGTGTACAGTCTTTAAATTTAATTTGTTTTATGTTTGGTATTTATCATAATTATTATTATCGTGAACATTTTTGATAATTAAATTAATGTTAATTTTATCGTGTAGTTTTGAAATATTCGCCGTTTGTTGGAAAATATGTTTTAGTAGTGCATAATTTAAAGGTATTTTTTTTTTTAATAATAATATCAAATTAGAAGAGTCTACGGTATATACAGAGTGCTCCAGAGTTGGAAGATTTAAAGTTAATCATGAACCCCTACTCATTGTAACTCATATAAATATACTATAGTAATTGGTTTTCAAATAGAAAATCTCCTGGCCCATTTAAAACAAAAATTCAACACATATTTTTCCCTAAAAATGTTGACATACCCAACACTACAATCAGATTTGCCGTTTATGAGTAGAGAAAGGATATATATTTATCTTCTAAATATATGTACTATATTGCCCATCTTTACTTCTCTGATCTAAAACTGATTTAAACTAGTATGACTCATAAATGGTAAACGTGTTAAATACATAACAAAATTTTTAGAAACATAGTTCTCGAAAATTCAAATACGTGTTCCAAAATGAGAGGTTGCTATTTTAAAACCATAATATATCAATTTGAAATATTAAGAGTAGGATTAAACATTTAAAAATTGTGTTACATAAAGCTCAAGCGATTGCAAAATGATTGAAAAAACACAAATCGAATTTGTTTAAAATCCTCCAAGAATAACGCTAATTATTATGAATCTATGTATCTTACAAATTTTTTATATGAATAATGAATAATAATATTTCTATAGAAAATGCATTTATACATAATATTATATTCACACGCAATTTTATTATCTGAGTTTAACGAAAAAATTGTACTATTCGTCTTATTATAAAATATGTATATATTTTTTCCTCTCGAAAAACATTTTTTTAACTAGTAAAAACGCTCAGATTTAATCACACTGAAACCTTCCAAAAAAAAGATACTGACCTGGGGGTAAGTTATTTAAAAAAAATATTCTAGATTGCCGAAATGTTTTTCTACAATATTAACAATACTGCTAACAAAATATATCGTAGGCACATCAGTTATTTTTTTTGTTCCTATCTGGATTATAAACAAAGGAAAAAACACTATCAATACCATGCAATACTATTACTAGACTCGACAAACTCTACCCAGAGTCGTTTTTTGATTAAAATTATTTGCCTTATTTATTCAGAATGTCATATAGAATTATTGTATACTTTCCCAATTCACTATCTATAAAACAATGGCCTATGATGGTGAGATTAGAGCGAAGTCTGTCGAGAATTTGTTTTTTATTCGTACTAGTTTTAAAAATCCGCAAGAAGTTTTTATCGTTAAAAACAAAATTAAGGTTAAAAAAAAAAGAAACAATTGCTATAGGTAGTATAAAAAATTATTTTATTTTATTACACGGACAATTTTTTATTTTTCATTTTTAATCTGCAGTCACTACGGGTAGTTTTATCGAAACAAAATAAATATTGCCCGCACAGATTATTGCACGAAAAATATATAGATACCGATTGATAAATCAAATCATATGCGGTGCAATATTTTTCGAAAGGTAGCGATAATCAAATTTTGGAATCTAAATATAGGAGGGTAAAAAAAAAAAAATATTTGCACGGTGCCTCGAGCGCCGCGTAGCACTATATTATTATACCTACCTTATCTCCGTGCCGGAATAATAAAAATCGAAAATTGAATTTATGTATTTATGCCATTCGACAAACACGATTATTTCTTTTAACGATATTAAAGACAGGTAAGTATTTTTTCTAGTAAACAAGTACACGTACAATAGGTATATTACATTGAATAATATAATTTCAAAATTTATAATATGTTAAAAATTGCAAAAAGTTGCACAAAAATGCTTAGGTTTTCAGTAGAGTTTATAAGTAACATATTTAAAACTATAACAAAGTTAAAAATTAGATCTGTAAAAGATAAGTTGCAAATGCAACGACATCCGAAATCTAAATACAATTTATTATTGTGTTTCGATTATTAACAAAGATTCAACAAATGAGGGAGAAAGCAAAATACAAGGCGTGATCAAAAATTGCCTTGACTATTTGAATTGTACACCGACAAAGCACTGAAAAGCAGTAGGATTAACATCACTGGTTTTTGTGACTTTTACTGAGTATATCCTTTGTTGTAGATTCTTTATAATCTTCTTAGCCTAAATGCCTATAAAGCCTATATCAAAGTTAGTTTTTGAATTCTCGTTCAAATTTTAACACGAGATATCGATTATCACATCAAAAATACTATACTTCCATATCACAGTATGCCACTTAAATAGGTAGTAAGATAGGCCTCATATTATTACAGATTATACAAATATAGAACCTATACTAGTCTAAACAGATAATTTGATTTTTACTTTTACAAAAAATCTCAGTTAAGTAACGATAATATTTTAAGCACAATTTTAATATAAATAATATTTGGCTATCGAAAAATGTCTACACTGCCTATTTTATTCCCTTTCTTCCACCCTCTCTTAATGTGCGCCTACCTTTATGTATAATTGTTCAAACGCACGAAATGAAATTAGTAATGTAGGTGGGTATAGTAATAATAAAAGTATTATTATAAAGTGTACGCAGGTATAATTATTATTACTGTACGGGGTGACATTATTCAAAGTTGAAAAGTTCAGAAAGTTTCGTCAGGACGTGGAACAATAAAACTGTGTCCGACTGTAAACACGACGACGACGACGCGCGTGATGGATTTCGAAAGTTTCTTTTTAGACTAGGTATGTACTTACATAATATATATATATATATATATATATATATATATATACATATATATATTGTGACTAATAAACGTAAGTATACGGGTTAAGTTTTCTCTTCCACGTTTTCTTTTTATTATTTTCGTCGTTATAATTATAATGACGCCACTCACACGCGCGGTCCTCTACAATATATTAATGTTAGATAATACCAGGAAAATACGAAATAATCAGTCTTTCAAAAATCATTTTTTGTCGTATATCCCACAAGACTATAGATCTTGTTCCCCTGCTAGTTATTAACAATTTGAGTGACTCCAAGACCAAATGAACTCAAACTCGAGAATACCGGAGTTTAAATACCCCTATACCGACTTATCAAATTAAGTCATAAATGTTTTATGTGGTCGAATATCGAATTTACGATTTAAAATAAAAAAAACTGTTTTTGATCACAAATTTAACACTGTATATTGTATACATAATTCTACCTGTTCCGCCCTGCGTTGCCCCGTACCAAAAGCAATACAATCAAACAATAAACTATGTAACTAGTTTCTATAGTGAAAACAGTTCGTTGTATGTGTCTTCGCGACAACTATAACGGACCTTACACTGACTAACTTATCATTTATTTTTTTTTTTAATTTGGTGAAACCTTTTTTTTTCCAAAGTGACCCAAAGTAAATCAATAAAAATAATTCGATTTTGTACCAAAAAAAAAAACCCGATAACCCTGTTTCAGCTTCCTTATAGAAGATGATCTCAGGATGAAAAAAAGTACCCTATATGTTATTGCTAGTCGATAACTGCATATACGCGAAGTTTCTACTCGATGTGTTCAAAAGTTTCGGCGTGACAAACAAATTTTCGAAATTATAATATATTATAGGCTAGGAATCTTAGAATACGAATTCGAATATCTTTATTCATAAAGTATTTAATACCTATTCGAATACGAAGAGTGATTTTTCTTTGTTAATACAATTTTAATCGAACACTTTACAAGACTAGAAATAATAATAGTAATATATTGTTATAAAATGTACACACTTGGGCCAACGAGGTGGCAGTCCGTTTTAAAAACGAATGATTTATACTATCCACACTTTTGTTATGAAAATATAATATAGAGAAATTGCAGTAACGAATGTACCTTTAATAAGGAAAACGACATTCAATATTTCACATAATGCATTAAATTTATTTAGTGAATTCGAACCGTTTCCATTCTTCGGACGGTGATTGCTGTTTGCGCGTCGTACGTCCCACCGCCGTCGCCGTGAAAAATTATCGATCGGACGTAAGGTACTTGTATTTTCGAAACACATTAAAAAAAAAAAAAAAAAGCGGCTAACCCAAAAATGATTTTATAAGAAATTCAATTCGAATTTGTATTCAAATTCCGTGTTTTTTTTTTTTTTTTTTACCATAAACTCATAATGAGAAAAGAAAAACCTACGAATAACTACAGTATGTTCGATTATTATTATTATTTTTTTTAACTACTAAGTACTAAGTATGTATACAACAAGTATAATGAACTTTATGTTTAATTGTAAAATGTACGTTAAATATCCGAGCGTTTATGCCGTGTCAAAAATTAGTATTCACATGTAGAACTCAATAAAAAAACAAAATCTAAAAAAAAAAAATCCACAATATCCTATGAATAGCTCAAGATAAAATTGTCATGTTAGGTCTTTTTGGTTATTTCTAACTAAATTACAACGAAAAAGTGCATTCTTAACTCCACTCAGAATCAAAAAAAAAATTATAACAAACACATTTAAAAAAAAAAACAGAAACCTCGATATTACATGAATATTTGCGTTATTTTTCAATATTTTTGAAAAAAAAAAATCACACGGCAAATAGGAAAAACCTACTATTTGACGAACCAACTAGACGAAATTTGCTACCACTACACTGCTACAATGCTCCTGAGTTTAATGTTCGTTCGTTCTTGGACACGTGAAATATTTAATTTCACGCTGATGAACGTGCAAACCAAGAATTCGCGTAATTCGAGTGCACGCGGATAAATTCCGTGATGAAACTTACAGACAGGGAAAAGTCACATAAACGCACACATACATATCATATTACGTAAAATCAATTCCACTACACTCAAAATCTAAAATATCCAAACCCTACGAGTTTACTGTCCCGATCATAATAATAATAAAATCTTCGAGCGGCAATAAAATGTTCCCTGACCGGCCTGACCTGAGAGTCGTCGTCCGAACGTAGGGGTAAAGGCACAGTTACGTGTTGTTACGATTATGTGGTAAAACGGTGGGATAACGGGGAGTAGAGAGACAGTAACGGAATCACGGTTGCCGGAGTACACGATGATAGTAATAATAACAATAATAATAATAATAATAATTATTATTATTATTATTATTATTGTTATTATTATTATTATAGTCGTCTCGGTTTCGGACTTACTTACCGGGCGGCGACCGTGTGACACATTGTATTTCTGGACGATCGAGATTCCGGGCGATTTCGTTCTCTCGGGACACCCGCGTGTGACATGGGCGGTAGACGGACGTCGTGTTAGCGCGGCGATCCCGAATATTCCCGACAACCGTCGTCGGTGTCACGGGACCGTGTCCGCAGGGAACGACGGGGTTAAGAACCGAGCACACTAGTAAGTGTTATAAGACTATACGCAACTGATATGTAAAACTTAATATCTGGATTTTAAACAAAATAATAACAATAATCACACCGAAATAATCCATATATTATATACTACAGATAAATATAACAAATGTTTCGATAATCTCGGATCAGATATAATAAATATGTGGAAATTGTTTAAATAAAAATGTCTAAAAAAAAAACCAAATACGGAATCACGGAACTATACATGTTTAACAATTTATTTAACCGATCCCGGTGTGCTCGCTTCTTATTTAGAACGCCATCGGTGACTGACCGAAAACGGGTTCCACAAATCGACAGCCGTTTTTTACGGGTATACGTCTCCTGCCCGCACCGTCACCACCCGAGAAACGGACTCTGATCGATATTGTTTTCATTTTGTTTTTGTTTTTTTTTTTTTTTTTCTTCTAGTCTCCCAGAACGCCTCCGGACTCGATTATCGTCAACGCTTGGTGGCTTTATTCTCTCTTTTTTTTTTTTTAACAATATTTAATTTGTGTTTCTTTTTTACCCCAGTTTGAGAATATATTAAAAGCAATACAATATAGATACGTAAATAAATACAATTTTAAATAAATTGTGAAGGGGAATACGATTTTGTACTTGGGTTTTACTGAATTTTTCCCAAAAATAGACAATATTACAACGTATTATGTCTGTTGTATTAATATTGATACTTTTTGACACATAAAGCGTCTCTTCCTAAACGAAATGAGCCCAAACTCCGGAATCAGAGCCGTTTTATAGGCTTGTTGATGTGATACAATTTTTGTCGAATTTTACTGTTATCGCGGGAAGAGGTTGTTATTCAAACTTTACTTCTCCAAAAAAAAAAAAAGCTGAATCAAAATACAAATATAATGGAAACTATTGTGGAAATAAGGTAATTTACTGAAATATTGATCCGCGTCGGTCGCGAATTTGCAATAGTGACGCGGCGGTTTTGGGTCTAGCTGTAGGAAACCGTGCTTTTATTATTTTTATTTTTTTTTTTTTTTTTTGACGAATTTCATAAGTGACACTGCAAGCAGTTGATAATAACATAATATTAAAATATATTAAATATTGACTGCCGTCGCTGCTGAGGAAACCGTACCGACCAAAAGTCACCAGGAAATAATGCAAAAATATATATTTCGCGGTGTTTTTAAAAGTTCGCATTTGGTAAATAACTATAATTTATAATAATATATATATATACATAGGTATGTTGTTGTTTTTGAGTGCACGCGATAGTTTAACGAACGGAATAAAAATAAAACTACACTTCAAACGCTATATGTATATGTATATATATACATTTTTTGGGGGTGGGACTAGTGATAAATTGGTATTCATTTAATTCAAAAAAAAAAAAAAAAAAAAAAAAAAAAAAACAAATCATAATTTACTAAACACGTTATTATATTAATTCTAATGCTTTTTATTTAGTGTAAGCGTTTAAGAGTCTTTTTTTTTTTTTTTTTTTTTTTACCCGCAGTAACAAATTAACACGTCCAATATTTTAACTATACATACCGTAATTCGACGTATGCATTAAAAACCAAACAAAAACCACATATCGCATTAATTTACGATGCATTGGGCGGAGTAATGACCACGGGATGGGAGGGAGTGATGATGGCGTCGCATCACCTCTTACAACTTTTTTTTTTCTTCGACTTCAATAACTCTCATTTATGTTTTATGAACCGCTTGCAATAATTGTCTTTTTTTATCAAAATTTGCTAACACTTTATTCTCTCCGTACCGAACTCCAGTAAAGGCGCTCAGTGAAATGGCGAAACAAAAATCCTATACGATTTTGTTCTTTAGATTTTTTTATTATTTTATTTATTATATTATGGATTCTTTAAATTGTGAATATATAAATTAATCTAAGTTGTGCTATTTTCAATAAATTACCAGCACAAAATAGTGCATTTATATCTATTTTTGCCTGAAAACGTGTTTAACGATTTTTTTTTTTTTTTTAATCAACGACTAGGTATTATATTCGAATTACCCCCATATCTTATATCATTCCCATATTAAAACTTCAAGCACACCACTAGATACACTTACACTTATTAAAAAATCCCGTCTTTGTGTCCAGTTTTTATTTTCAAATTAATGTCATTTTTTTTAAAACGAAAATAATAACGTTATTAAGCGTTTAAAATAATGTCGAATCATTTTTCATAAAAACCGTCTCACGTGGTAATTTTGCGTTAATGATATTTTGGAGCAAGTGTAGTAATTTTGTATTTTAAATAAATATATTACTTTGGGTAGGTATAATATTTTTAGTCTAATGTAATTTGAATTTTTCAATCTTAAAAAGGAACAAAAACCAATTTCGCCGCTTTATGCACGAGATTGACAGAAATAATAAATTACGCTATTATTATACTCCATGACTGATAATAATTCACGCGTCTCTAAAAGTGTTTTGTAATTTATAAAATGTACTTACAGAGTAATCTATGCCTAAATTATGCCTATAACTTAAAATAAAATATCGATTGCATAAACAAACGTCTCCGGGTGCGACATTCGATGAGAAAGGTATATACGTTATTATCGTATAAATTCTCGATGAATATTATCAATATGACACGAAATGTCTTTTTAGATTCTGAGGGAAGCGATACACCACAACACACCATAACTGTTATAGAATCTGATAGTCAGTGATTTTTTTTGTTGTTGGTGAACGGCTTTTCTACCAGAAATTTTGTTCCGATCAACAACTTTAGGAACGGTTCCTGTTGGAAAACTATGTTTAGTCGGTACATTGAGGAGATTGGTTTTTTTTTCCACAATATAGTTTTTTTTAATAATTGAGGAATACCGGGAAAAAAGGTCGGAAATATTTACGCCATAACGATTTTTATTATTTTCAATTTTGTTTTTTCGGTGTTATTCGAAATCTGACGTTTTCACAGAATACTTATATTATTCTAGACGCGGTAAGATTTTCAAAATATTCCCGTGATTTTTCGGCTATTCATACATTAAGCTATTTAAAAATTTTCTTATTTTTTTTTTTTTTTAAGTTTTAATTAGGTTTTATGTGATTAAAATTGTGTTGACCCAGCAAAAATACTCAATAATTAAATACGACAATTTAATCATAAATTACAACGATATAAACGACATAACGATATAATTGTGATAAAGGTGGCATATCAAAATATTTTCAACCTACCTTTACTCAGAATCGTTTTTCGTTAGAAACACTTTATCTATCACACGTACATATGTAAATAAAAATATTCCATACATCCTATTGTCCCAACTTCCTATCTACAACAGAAGTAGAACTAAGCTATATCAGTTATTTTCTTTTTTTTAATAAAGAATAATTGTACATGTCTTTTTCCATCGAGGGGAATTTGATTTAACTATAATATCGTACAAAATCACATGTGTCTACAAATAAAGTACCTTTATTTTATGTTTAAACAAGTTATATTATAAGTACAATATATTATAATCTAAAATATATTTTTGTTCTTAAGTCTTTTTCACGTTATGTAAATATCTATCTTTGAAGTGGCGTCGCGATAGGGTATTTTATGAATTATTTCCAACTGGTAATATATACTTAATAATTTTATTGTTTAAATAAAGGTTTATTGGTATTAATATAAAGTAAATGTTTATTTATAAATATATTTATTTATTAATATAAAGTAAATGTTTATTTATATTAAGTTAATATATTATATTTCACTAATTCACTTTCACCTTCATATATTAAATATTTGGTGTTAAGGTAACCAGGAAACATTTCGATAAACCACAATTTTAACGAAGAAGATAAAATTCAATTGATGGTTTATTTAATTGTATAAATTATTTTTAAAAAAAAAGTCCCACAGACTCCGAACCTATGTCGATAAAATGTCACATATTTTACATGGCTCATAATTTTGGTCATTAATTCCGTGTTCTCTTTTATAACTGAATAGCAAAATTAAAAAAAAGTATAATGTATAGATCAATTATATGTAGTGCACAATTTTATTAATTTTTGAAATTCATAAAATATAAAATCACCATGACTTAAAGCATATATTTGTGGAATGATAAATTGGTAATGATGGAGGGAAGGTGTGTCAAGGCTACGTCCCCATGACTCTGTCTAATAAAACTTAGGTGGTGGTGGTCAACCTCTCACATCTATGTTTGCTTCATAAAATAAAAAAGTTCACGCCATCACAGTATCTATGAATCACACCACGCAACGTATTAAATTATGAATTCAGAAAATTTTTGTAATATTTATTATGTAGTAATATATTTGAAGGTTATAATAGTAAATAATTATTAATACATACGAGAGTATAATTAATTTAGTTTACTCGAGTTGAGTAGTTACAGTAAAAATCATCCGTTTTTGCTATACGAGTTTTACTCTTTTACTCTTTTATACAATATTAGGTTTCTTTTTTTTTCGATTGTACATCCGAGGTTTTTACGATCGTCTAAGAAAATAAAAAAGTTGTTTTATAAACATTGTTACCAAACTCAAATTGAAATTTTATACACCGAAATATTGTGTATAAAATTACACATAAAGTCGTCCAACGTGGCGTGAAACAGATTTCTCCTTATTTTACTTTTTTTTCTCTCTCTTTTCCTTTTCTCAAGACCCAATAAAACTTTCTGTTGAAATTATTTTAAAGAAGCTATGTATGTTATAGATTTTATGTCAGGTTTATAAAAATAATGCAATTACTGTCAATTTTCCCCAAGATTCGCTAAGATATAATTTTATTTGTATTTATGCCTTCAAAAAAAAAAAAAAAAAATTAACAATTTAAACGAAATAATTGTTTTATAATGGTTGAAAAAAAAATCAGAAATCAAATTTATTTAAAATTTTGGATCGTGGTAAAAAAAAATCACCCCGTATTGTATGTACTGTACATTAATTCTTGGATTCGTTTATAATCGAACGATCAACACTCTATGGACTCACGAGTTAATTTTTGTTTGGATCCTCTATCGTTTGTCAGGGTCGTACTCACATTCAAAATTAAAAAATAAAAATGATCATGCGTTGACTGAAATTTCAATGATTTCATAGATATTTCATACAGGTAAAAATAAATCCGAATATTTCACCGTATATAATTTCAAAAATGCATTAGTTTAAGTAAATTACATTTACAATGTATACAAAATATCGGTTTCATTACCAACATTTTGTTTAATGTTGTGTACAAATACAGATTGACGGAGCAAAAACGACCAAATTTGAGATGAACGTAACTTTGGGAGGAGACGTCACACAATGTTGCCGAACGTTTCATAGTATAGTACGTGACGGGAAGTTAAGTTGCCAGACAGTGACGGTGAATTCTGAGCGTTATGTTACTATTCTCCAAGATTTTATCTTTTCTTACTTTGAGGAAAATAAAATAGACACTGACAACTTCTGATTTCAACGGGGCGGTGCTACTGCCTGTTTCGTTTTAAAAAAATAAAGCCCAATTATTCCAACTTTTAACAATGTACACATTTTCTTGTATTACTATATATGGAACACGTCTAGGAATCTTTAGGGCTACATTACTATGTTCCCAAAATTCCTTAACCTATTTTAAAATCGATCGGCGGTTTGGAACAACTGCACGTGGAGGAAGTCCGAATCGCGTGCCGATTACGCGTTGTGTAGCTACGATTGACTCATTGTTTCGGAAAAATGTCTCTACGGCGAACGAGTGATATTGAATACTCCACTGGGCCATTGACACTGAACTTCCCGTCACGTGCTATACAATGAGACGTTCTGCAATATTATGCGACGTCCCCTCTCAAAGTTACGCTTAAATGTGTTTGTTTTTGCTCCGTCACTCTGTATTTACATTATTTTTCTCCGAAATACGAAACTGAAATACCTATTCATAAGACTATGATATTTTAAAAATATAAATACTCGAAAAGATAAACTTTTTTGCGTTCGTAATTTAAATAAATTATCCTGAAACGTGTAAAAAAAATACACACATTCAAACATGTATACATACATATTGTATATTAATGTACATAAAAAACTAGTGTCTTATGTAAACCTGCACGTCAATTCTCTATAAACATGGTAATTTTGCAGAGGACTCTATAATATTATTTTAAGTAAAACACGTAGATATACGTATGATAAAAACTCGTTACGTATTGTCCTATACAGTATGTAGTTTTATCAGGATTCGGGAGGACTGCCGATACAAACAAATATACTTGAAAATAATTTTGTTTCCAAATACCACCGCAATTATGTATTATTATTTTTCGTTCTAGATTTTAAATGGACCACGACAGCATCTATTATTAATTGGTTTTACAATTGTGCGATATTTCTATACATTCTTTGTTTTCGTGTGATGATGATGATGTCCTTAAACAATACTACGGTTAGTACGAGTGTTCTGAAAGTTTCGTCTTATATATTATGTATATATAAGACAAAGTATATATATTATATACACATATATACTTTGTACATTTTATCGATTGTAAATTATAGAACAAGGATTGTGAGTTGGCAAAGTCGTTTTTTCTTTTAAATTCCGTGACCATTGAACACGGTAAAAATTGTAGAATATTTCGTACATCGTGTTGCAACCAAATTCGATTATATCATTCTGTTACAAGTCAGAGAAAACGATCACTCACTAAATAAGATTTTAATCAATATATTTTTTATACAATTCGTGTATTCGTTTATTTATCGTTAAACTACGTTATTCAAATATTAATACTCTGTAATTCTAATTTCTTTTTTTGTAAATATTACTACATAATCTATGAGTTAAAAAAATTAACGTTATTTATTAAAATGTTTAGTATTAACATAATTTTGGTCCCAGAAAGAAAGTATTAACTATTAAGTCATTTTCGGCATGTGTTTTTTTTATATTTTTCTCTTTATTTTTTTTTCTGTATAAGTTGCAATGTTTTAATTTTTTAAATTCAAAACTATACAAAATTGACTTAAAACCCCATTCTCTGGGACCAGAGATATAATGTTCTCGTTTATTTATATTTTAGTATGACGAACTTTTAATAAAATGATTTTTGTGCTGTCTTAATTTATTAATTTCCGTGTACGATGACAATATTTTTATTTTACTTATATAAGAGCACAGAAAAATGGTTTTTAGATACATATACAATAAAGGTAAATAGGATTTACTTAGGCTTTCTTTCCAAAATCAAATTTTTGATCGAAACATTTTAATCGTTTTTAATAATGTGGACTATTCCATAAATTACAATCAGGCCATTTCGAAGCAAGTTTTAAAATATTATTGTACTCCAATTAATTCAAAACGATTTCAAATTGATTAGATTATACCGATTCTATTGTTTTCTCTATTAGGACTAGCGATGAAACCATAAGTTGTCGTAGTATAACGTTTAAATTTAAAATCCTTAGCTCGGAAATTGAATTTGAAAACTGCGAGAAGAAAAAAGAATAAGGACCATTTTTTTTTATTTTGGAGTAGGATTTGCGGTGATATCCGGAGTTTGAATTTACAATAGACCAACTGTAGGACCCGTATATTTTGGAGAAAAAAATACTCGTTTATATTCGCATATCTTAAAGATCACTTTTTATTAGAATACATATAGGTGGTTAATAATTGGTTTTTTTTTTTTATATTTTCTCCTACTGAACTTCGGTTTTCGGTTGAATAAGGGATGAGTCACTATAATGTATTATTACTAGCTGCCTCCCCCGCACGGTATTGAACGGAAAAAAATATTTGAAAATAAAAACATGTCCCTTTGGTAACAATATTGATTATAATAAAAAAAAGTTTTTTTCTTCGTGAAACCAATAGATACCAAAAAAAATAAACAAAACCTAGTGAATTTAAGTATTTTAAAGACGAGTTTCTCTTTGAGCCCCAATTTATGGAGTCTAGGAATTTTTGACGCTGCCGGTTGGATTAAGTGAAATAGCTAAAATACGTGGTAAGGAGAAAATTATTCTCATTGGTCATAATTAATAATTTATTGTACTGGGAATTTTTTTTTTTTAAGACATTTTATTTTGACGTTGAATCTAAAAATGTTGAATTTTCATTATTGAAATTATGCATTTTTAGAATTACTAGAAAAGTTATAACTTTTTTAAGTTTGTCGTTTTTACAGTTTTACAAGTTCGACATGAGCTCGCAAATGATAGTAGCCGAATGCCCGGTCTGGCGTATCGAGGTTTAGGTTTACATTTAGGACATTTTTTCATTGAAGAACAAACAATAAACTTCTAAGAATAAACGATTTCAGTAAGTTTAGTTTAACAACATAACTTATTTAATTGATTTATATCTATCTATAATATGGATATTGTACATATCACTAACCTATTTAAAAGAGAATACAAATAAAAGCATTTCCATTTGGGGTTTGCACAATAATTCTATTCTTCTAATGTTTTATATAAAAAAAAACATGTGTAAACAAGCGGAATGTGTACCTGAGATAAAATATATAGATTTTTTGAAATTATTTAAGGACGTAAGATAAAATAAACGTAAATAGTTATCTAGATAAATCTGAAAAGTGGCAATAATGCAAGTACCTAGAACCGGTCTCTAACAGGTACTGTTTTATGATGCGACTTTCCAATGACTCTGCTGTGACCATCTCTATGGCATTATCATAATTCATAATATTACAAATATTTGCCGTCGTATTTAAACTATTTAATTATAATTGTATTTCAGTGCGATTCTTTGATATTATCTGTATTTTATAAAGTGTTATATATTACGCTTTTTAACTCGTGAGTAGTTAGGTGTTCAAATTTTCGTCAAAGAATTTAATATGTTACTATCCGGAAGCTAGAATAATAATATTCTTGTATTTGCGGTAACAGACAATAAAAATAACAAAATGGTTTTTCTTTCCGAAACGAAAGGGTTTTCGCTGAAGATCACGTGTTTTTGACACAAGAAACACCGTGCGGGATACACAGGAACAAGGAAAATCGTGACATTATATATTATTACCATGCGCAAGGATTAAACAGCACCGCCTGACGTTTTTCTCAAAATAAAGTCCCCCATCATTTCCGTCTGTCGATCATAATATATTCTTATTCGACAACAACTTTCTACGATGTTGCCGTCCGTAAAAGTCTGTCCCATTGTCGTGTCGTCGCCAGAGTATGACGTAGGTAACGTTTTATAATAATATTGTACACGAGAATTTGTGCGGTTCGATTCAAAAGACAATTTTTTCATCGTCGATGGTGCCTATAAAACCCTATCACATTTCCGACCATTGCATTGGTGTAAATAGGAGAACGCGGAGATAGTCGTTCCGTTATAGCCTTAAATCTAAGGGTCCTTATTATTAGTCTAAAATACTGTTGTAATATTTTTATATTGAAAATTGACAACAATATTATTATATTTTGTTTTTATGAGTATCATTTTGAATCGAAAATGTATTTATTTTATTGGCAATGATCTAAACCTTAGATTCTAAGGCAGCGCTATTGGAGTACATAGTTCAATTTGTATACCAGATACCTCAAAAGTTAAACTTTTATTTAGCATATTTTTTCCCCGCTGCTTTTCGTTTGTACAGAATTGTTTATATTTTTTCGGTCCTTTAGTTAGTTTTAAACACATACATATGTCATACGAATTAATGATTAATTTAAATATTATACATCAACAAATTTTGTTTTCATGTAATTAACACGAAAATATTTTGATGTTTTTTATCGATTCAAATTGTTAATTTGATAATGTGTAACACACAAACTATGTGTATTACCGATTATACATATGTAACCAAATATTTATATAAACAAAGAAAAATCGACCACTTGATCTAAAAAACAAATAGACTCGTGATATTTTCGTATTTGATTTATTATATCTGTACATATTAGTGTGTGATAATGTCGTTTAAACGATTTGTTATTTCGTGTTCTGATTTTATATTCGAGTCAACCGTTGGTTGTTTAACACTATAAACAAAAATTATCCGAATTGTTAATAATGACATATTATGATATAAACAGTAGTTTTCCAGAAATATGTTCAGTATTCATTTTTGTCAACTTTTTTTTTTTTTTAACAACCCCAGTATTAGTACATACAACTGAACGGTTATTTTGAAAATTAAAAATTATACAAATCTGTCTAAAGAATTCAGTGAGGCAAGAACGACTATATATACTTAATGATGATATCTACCGCGTTGTTGGACATAGAATAGATGGAGAAGCAGAACTCGTGAACGTCCCGCAGCTTATTTACAACTTTGCGAATTAAAAAGCTTGTAAAGTGAAACTTTAACTGTTATACTTATTATAGATACTATCTATATTATTTATATTTCCTTGTCTAGTACAATAAAAAAAAAAAATTAATAACTAATAAAATATACCGTCAAGAAGAACATAATATTTTACACTAATAGCTGTATTATTCGTTTGCGTTTAAACCGAATATATGAACGGGGGGGGGGTCCTTTAAGATCTTCGAATTCGACTCGAATTTTTATACTTAAGCCGCTGGGTATATCCGTCATACTATTATCATCGACTCGGTCAATGCCACTGCCGCGACTTTGGCTATTTAAAACCTTTCAAACGATACAAATCGGTACGGGGGCAATTTTCCTATCGTCGCTTAAAAGGCAGCACCCGGAAAACGAAGGATACATTTTTTTTAAAAAAAAACCGGAAGACGGATATTTATTTATATATAATCATATATAAATATATATGTATACGGCTCGTTATTTATTTTGTCTCTGGGTATCCGTGTGACGATGTAAACGTCACGGTGGTCCCGTCGTTATGTGGGCACCACGATTAATGAGACGTGTTTTTGGTGATCCGAAGGGTCGTATTATTGAGGTGTGCTCGACCGAGTGTATATGTATATATAGATAGATATATATGTATAATATAGGAATGCGAAAAGATCTGCAGGATTTCAACGTTGAAATATAATAATAATATTCCCTTCCTCGGTGCAGGATTTTTTTTTCCTTCACTTTTATTATTATGATTTTTTTTTTTTTTTTACATAAATAAAAAAAAAACTAAACCATTAACTCAAAACTAACAGCTCCCATCGTACACCTCGACGAGCCACGCCCTACGTATAATATGAAAATATTATTTGTCGAATATAGTGCCAAAATACGAAAATAATAATAATAATAATCGAGGTTCGAGACTTATTGAGTGATACCATTTGCTATTTAACAGTTAAGTCTAGCAGAGTAGCGTTACGCAGATCTATATACATGTTAAATGAGATTAATGAATTTTAAAATTTTTTCTTTTATTCTTTGCTTTTTTTGTTAGTATTTTAATTTTTATTAGCATTTTTTTTTTCAAATACATTTTTTAAATGATTATTTCAGCAATTAAATTGCTTATAATAAAGATTTTTATGCGTCTATTTGTTGATTTCAAATGTTATACATCCCGAATCCTGATGATAATAAAACGCGAATTGCATAACCTAATACATATATTAATGAACGCACCCGTCACGTGATATCAACGAAAGTACTCTACTAAAGACTTTTATACGATAATAATACAAAACGTGATTTTTTAACCATAATATCATAAACTCAAAAATACGAAACTTTCGATGGTTTAAAACATAATTATCAGCTTACGACAATACTATAAAACCTTGAACAATTTTTGAGAATATACACTATACTATACTACACGACGTGTTCTTTGTATTTTAAGTGTATATTTTTTTCTCCGTCTGATATAAACAGGTAGGTTTCTAGTAACAAATCTATTTTTTGACAGGATTTTTTATTTAATGTTATTATATTTATATATATAATAATGGGGAATATACAAAAATAAAGAGAATATTAACGAAAACAGCGATCTTTGTTATTTCGATTTTGTTATTTTTTTTTAGTTTTATTTAAATAAAAAATAACCGTACAAATCTGAAATATTAACTAAATACTTATTTCCGTTCGTAATTACTAGAAGTGATACAGTTTTTAAAATATTCAGACGTTTTTCGAGTTATTTATAGCTATTGGAATAATTTTAATTTATTTATTTTTTGGTTTTAAGTGGATAAAATTAAATTGATTCCGTGGAAATTCACAAAAAAATTTTAGGAACAGGGATCACCATAATTTGTTCTAGACACCTCTACAACTTTCCAACCTTTTTTATTTGTGAATTTCAAACAATCAAATGTGAGACATTAAACAATTTTAAAAAAAAGACTTGGGGCCTTTGAGGCAATTCATTGTATCTAGGAGTCAATTTCATATGGCATCGTTAATGCACTTTACATACCTTCTCGTATAATTTCTAAAATTACCAGAATAATACATTCTTATACAAGTTGATTGTAAACAATACTTACGGTTTGCATTAACGATTTTACAATGTATGCAAAATTTACATTATAATGCAAACTATTTATTTAATAATATATTATTATAAAGATGTCTTGTGAGATTTACTATATCTTATAGCATTTGAGAAATGATATGTTTACTCAAAACTTTAAAATAATAGTAAATCATCTCGAAACACAAGATTTATATCATATTGTAATGATATACGCGAGAATATGCTATCTTATTGGTCTTTCCATCTGTCTATTGTTCTTATAAGAATTTATTCAGTACAGTTCCATTTATTTTTTGTTTTATCTTAAATATGCTTTAAATTATAATATCATACTACAGCTTCAGTCATCATCCAGCATTACCCAGGTTAAGATAAAATACATGTTACCAAAAACACTTGTATCAATAAACAAAAAGCAATTTCATTTTATATTTCTTACGTCTAACTGGTTATGTTGTACGGTAACTAGGTCAGGTTCTGAGTCTTACATTCACGAGAGTTTTTACCGAACATTTTATAATTCGTATAATATGTTTACCTTTTAAAGTATGCTTCAAAACGCTTCACACGTATTGTCTAGCCACGGGCAAAGTCAACTATATTATATTATTGCATTAATTTATTATCAAATTATTATTTTCCGTGTAATCAGCAATCAGTAAAAAAAAAGACAAATCTGGAACGTAGACCTCCTAAATATAAATTTAAATTTAAAAATTTGTCTTGGATTATTCATCAACGGAGGAAACTATTCCAGAGAGAAGGTTTGATATCAGGTAGGGATCACATGGATAGTGAAGTTCTATGGTCGTTTGAGTATAAAATATAGGAAAATTATAATATGGAAATTTGAATCTTAGCCTGTTAAGTTGATGAATGTAGTAGGTAGATATGTTATATAAGTTTCGGATATCGGTAAAGTACTCCAGTCTCCAACGAAAAATATGTAAAACGCAAAACTTGTATACATTTTTGGGTGTATGACACCTTCCTGGCCTGGTAATTCATTTAATCAATAACATCAGTGTCATAAAAATAAACGGGAAATTTTTTTTCTCGTATATCATTTATTTTTTTTAAGTATTACTAAAAAGAAATAATAATACAAATAAAAATCCAGTTTTTAATATTTTTACCTCCGTGATTTTTCCTATTTCAAATTTTACTCATATTGAATTTTAATCTACTTTATTTTTAATTTGTATCCACAGTCCAGAACAAAAAATATCTGTATAATAATACCTTTAATGTCAAATATTATTAGACTGTCAATATAATATACAATACTATACTATACTTATAAAATATGTTGATAAAAGTGTGAAAAGTTTTTTTTTGTAATTTTATTTATTTATATTAGATTTTCTATCTGCGTGTCAAAATCAACTCTGAATAATAAACTATTCATTCAATAAGGTTGACCAGTCCCTGCGTGAGAGGTAAACAATTTCATTCGACCGTTAAATATCCAATTTATTATAATACAGTATACATGGAAATGTCAAAAAAAAAAATAAACCTAAAACCTTCTACCTCAAGGTATTATTAAATTTAAAACTTAAGTTATTTGTAAACTGTATATATTATAATTTATTTATGAAAAAAGATCTCCAATTTTCTAAAATAAAATGAATCAAAAAAAAAAAAAATAAACTAAATTTTCTTTCAACATTTAAATTTTTCTTTGTTTTTCAAAGTTACTAATTAAAAGAAAAAAATCCTCCTAATACACAAACTAGACAACATTTTATTCCAGAAGATGTATTGCACTTAAAATTCAAAACAAAATTTCTAGTAGAAAAAAAAAATTAAACGTTTTTTTTTTATTTTTCTAATAAGTCTTTTTCCAGTTATACTATAAAAATCTTTTGAAAAATTACCTCCGTAATGTATTGGTGTTTTTTTATCAGAGAGAATTTTTTAGTAGATAAGTGGTTTTCAGGCAAAACAAATATACATAGATAAATAAAAAAAAGCAAGTAAACATCATAGTAAAACCAATACACTCCTCGCTGCGCTCAGAATCTAAAATGGTAAGTTTTATTTTATTTGACAACAATATGTGATTCTAATATTATTATGGTTCGTATATTTTATAATATTTTAAGACGTATTCGAATTTAATAAATAACAAAAATCTCACATTTTAATCAATTACATCAAACATAATATTCCTTACATACATACATATACATACATACATACGTACATACATACATACATACATACATACATACATACATACATACATACATACATACATACATACATACATATAGGCTTTCAGCATTACCTAGCTTATACATGATTCATGTTATTTTAAATATGAATCGAAACCACTTCAAATAGAAATTTATGGGATCTGTTCTAGAAAGATTTGGGCTAAAAAAAATAAAATAAAATAGCGAACTCTGAAGCGCTGAAGTGTAAAAACACTTTGTTTTCCTGCCCCATTGAAAATCTTTCGGAATACTTCTTATATATTAGATATAATATCCTTATAGTTGAATGAATGTCTGTTTTTCTTTAGATTTCTGTTTAAAGGTGAATAACTTCTAACTTATTTTTAACAATCAGTGTTACGATAGTCGTTTACACACATTATAAATATATATCTATACGGTTATATATACCATAGTTTTTAAATAATAATAAAAACATAATACAATTATTGTACTTTTCATTATTTAACAATATTTTAATATTTTCCTTCCTGTAATATTCCTTTTAATTGAAAAATAATAATAATTAATTTCAATTCTCATAATTTTGATTTCTTTATTACTCGATGTTATTTAATTAATTTAAATTAATATTATAATGTAATAATATCCGATGAATTTCATCAATTATAACTAATAATCTAGAATGACATCACTCGAGTAAGATTGATAGTGAAATCTTCATTTTTCATTTTTTCGTTATTATCAAAGTTATACTCTAATAATTTGATTAAAAGTTTTTTTTTTTTTTTTTATTCTCTAAGTTTCAGAATGTGTTCACCGAAATATATTCTGAATTTTAGATTCTGAGAAGAACAACGAGATATTATTACGAGAGTATTATTATTTATTATACGTATTACTTTACAATGATATAATTTTACTTTATTTTTTTCACATTAAACATGTTTAATAAGTTTTATACTGCAACTTTATATAAATAGGTAATTATTTGAATAAGAAAACAAACGAATAATGTTACTGTCACAGCACTCCTGATAGCAACTTTTAAATATTCAGATGTTGTAATTAACGCGTTCAAATTTAAATTTTTAGACGATTGAAACAAAATATCCAATCATTCAATTTTCATTTTTCGTTTTTTCTACACGAATAATTATAACATAATTGTGTTGGTTATTAAAATGCAATTTTTATTGAACTAATTTTTTTAATGGCATTTGCGGAAAGGTACAGCCTTAATGTGCGCAGTATGGTTTGTTTAAAATAAATCCGATTGAACGATTTTCATAAACTCACTGAGTACATACAAATATAATACCGCCCTGTTGGTAGATTTACCTACAAATACTGTCAGGAAAAAATAGGGTCCTTATACTCGAACTCGTGCGCAAAAAGTAATTGCACCGGGTAAGTATACGTATATATATATAGATCCCTCGAAAAGGTTGGTTATCGAAACGACTGGATATGTTTGGTCAAGTAAAAATAATAATACGTTCTCAAAGGTATACCTACGTGAAGAAAAGTCCGGAAAACATTACGGTCCGATTCGGTCTCGTGAGCAATGTATAGGCCCTTTGAAAGGTTTACGGTTTGCTCATGGCACATACACGACACACACGAGCAGATGAAACTTGTGTAGGTATACGAAACTAATGTTTGACAGCCGTAACGAAAACGCGTAAAAACACTGGCTTTCAGAGGTAAAAAATTGTATATATATAATAATTATAATATAATAATAAAACCACTCAACGTATAAAGTCGGTTTTAACCAAGCCGGTTTGCCCGGACAAGCGGCCGCATGAGGTTATCCGGAATGTTTGTGTGTTCTGGCCATCCAACGACCAAACTTTCCAAATGAAAATTTCCGACCAATCACAGATGGAAATCCTATATTAAATATGAGCCACCTAATTTGCTAATCAATATTGAATGAACTGTCATTTCATATATTCAGACATTAGTATAGCCTAGAAGCTTGTGATCAATGACAAAATTATTATATTGATTTTAATATAATGTATTATTCTATTAGTAAGTAAAAGACTACTACTATATATAAAAATACATGCAATAACGTGTCTTGAACGAAGATAGCAAGCAACCGACCATAGAAATCCGATGAACAGCTATATAGAAACTCTAACCAAGCTCAAGTCATGGAGAAGTTTTATAAAAACAACGAAATAAACGTATAATCCTCGGTGCAAATCCGCATACAACAATGGAAAGAAGTAATGCTAGCGGAAACGCCTGTCCCTCTAACGAAACAATTACCACCTGGCGGGAATCTGTCATGGCTCTTATGAAAAACACTAAATATACTGAAAGCAGAAGTAGCTAAAATGAGGGACAAAATGGATCAGATGGGGTTACACTGAAGGGCGTGCTTTGTGATTGCGGTGAAATCCAAACTGATGACCACCTACTACGGTGCAGAACTGTTCTAGTGGAATGCAAAAAGGACTTGGCTTTAGCCAACGATCAAGCAGTTGAGGTACCAACCTACTGGCGCTCACACATAAAATTTGACCATGACACAATCAGCATCGAAACGAGAAGAAGATTCGAATAGTGAGTATTAAATAAGAACCAGCAGTCGTACTAACATTCATATAGTAGAATCCTAAAGAACTGATTGGCACAACTGAAATTCGGCTATATAAAGAATATAGTGACTGAGCCAACCTTCACACCAAAGGGATAATACCTCTCACGCAGGGGCTGACCAGTCACAAATATCAGAACATGATGCCGTGATCAGATGTTGCACAAATGTGGTTTAGTCAAATCTGAATGCGGTTGAAAACCTAACTAGTCCCGTGAGGCTATTTAAAGATTATATTATTTACTTTGGCATAAAATTTGAGATTATGCTGATCCTCTTATAAAAATTATTACCATTATAAACTAATTTAGTTAACTATTGTTAATTTAATTTAATTTTTATGTTTTATTACACCGTAAAATTCGAATATAACATAATTATTCTGGCCGAATTATATTATTGAAACACAATATATATATACTTCATAAAAAATGATATTATTTTGTTGAAAAAATACCTTTTAAATGATAATAACATTTAATATAAAAATTAATACCATTAAACATTGAACTTTATCATATAGTTCAATGTAGTATAGAAAACAGTAATTCATAGATATAAATAACGAATCAATCAATCAAAATGTGGTTGGTCAAACTATAATATCGGCTCTCTAACCACAGCCATTTGACGGACTTAAGGACTGCAGAACGTGTGAAGAGACGACGACGTGACATCCGGTGGTCTCCGGCGAACAGAAACGCGCGTGATGAAATCCGGAACTTTTTCTTTTTCGCCGTTTTCCTTAGCCGCGCAATAACCGGAACACGCCGCCGGACGAATATTAGTCCATTTTTTTTTTTCAAACTTTCATTGTTTTTATTAATTTATTTAGTCGGAATTAATTGGTAAACAATTTGCCTGTATAAAAAAGGAAACTCGGAGGTTCCATTGCAATAGCGAAGATGCAATAGTGCAGTGCAAAGTATAGTGTTGTGCAGTGTACATAATTAACACGTAAACTGATGAAGTGACGGTGGCGACAGGGGAGGGCATCGTTAGCGGCGGGGAAAGGATTTTTGTGTTGGTGGTGCTCGTTAAAATTGAACGCGATCCCGTCGTTAAAAAGGGGAAAAACTACCGCAGTACACAACAAGGCACCGCAGTGGGCGGCGGCGGTAGCATCAGTGACTTTCGTTCGAAACGCAATTTCCGGATCCATAACGGCATTAGGAAATGACGTCGTCGTATAGTCATCGGCGGCGGTGTAGTAACAGACATTTGGTGACAACGACGGTTTAAATTTCTACTCAATCGTAGCATAAAACTCGATTATCATCAAGGTTTTACTCAATTACCGGGTGGCACGTACACTATGCCAACTATTATAGGTAGGTGCGTATAATATCGCAACAGCAACCGCGAATATCTATAAATTATTATTATAATAAAAATATTAATGTTGAACAATTTATTGGTGTTATTAAACGGACAGTTTAACATTTAAACCGTGTCGGTATTGCATTATAATAATAATAATAATAATATTATTATTATTATCATCTACAGTCTGAAATATAATAATTTTTAAGTCTCGTCGTAAAACGGAGTTTTCCATACCTGTAGAATACAACATCGATTTCAGGAGACTTTTAGTTCCGTGATCTACATAATAATGTAACCAGTTCAAATAGGTCAATTGATGTATTTAAGAATATGACTTGGTGGGAGGGGGAGAGAGAACATTTTTGGAAATTCTACAGAAAAAGTAATGACCGCTCCATTGATTTGTTTTGTTTTATGTTTCAGTTATGATAAAAGCTATGAGGTAGTTGACTTTTTATTTAGATATAAATATATATACAATAACATATATAATATGTATAAAAAAATGTATTTTTATAGTTATTAATTATTAATAAAACATTTATTTTTAACTATCCTTTTGTTTCTTTCCAATTTTTAAAAGGAAAATGAGTGAACTTTCCTAGAAGTCAGTAATCAATTCTACCACTTTAAATAAATATCAAACAAAATTTACAAAATACTTTTTTTTTTAATTCTAGGTAAGCAAGCCAATTAAACTCTAGCAACTATTTAGGTATATACCCCTTAGAACTTTAAATTGCTTTCTTTACATTTTTCCAGCAATGGAAAGTAGTAATTTATACGTGGTACCTAGAATTCTGTTAGCACCTAAATATACATTTTCTTTTATATTTATTATAGAATAGACAACGGTAGGTAATAAGGATAAAACTATAAATATAGTTATATATTATCAGCAAATAAGATTTTTAAAAAAAATTATTACTTAATTTGCATCAAAAAAATTATTTTTTGTTTCAAAATAATAGAAAAGTTCCACAATATATCTCAATGAAAAGAAATGTAAGTTAAACATTCTCACTCCCCATGATTATGTCCCTGGTTAGGCTAAATTTAATGAAAAATATTTTTACAAAACCTATATAGCAGGTATCTTATAGGATAATAACTGTTATATTATCATTTATCTCACTATAAAAAATTTCATTTTAAAAATGTTTTTATCAAAATAGTCTCTTAGTCACACATTAAGTCACATATATAAGTAGCAACTTAAGCTTCATATTAGATTGCATTCCTTCCAATCTCTGAATTTACAAAAAACCTAAAAATCCATAACTACCGCTTCTTTGATTTCTAAATGTTTTTATTTGTTTACCCTCACTCTAACCCGTTATCAACTAAACTTAGACTAATAAAATATTTTGTTATTTACAATTAATTTTCAAAACCATATCATCCTTCAATGATTTCTCTCAGAACTAGGTAACTATCAATTCCAATTCTATATTAGCCGAGTTCATTAACCTAAATAAATATACTTAATATTATCATATCGATAATCAAAACTTCGATTTTCATGTATATCACATTTTCTACTAGGAAATCTGATCCTAGAAGTTTTCATAATAAATATGAAAAAATAAAAAAATAACGAAATGTATTTTCAAATCGTAAATATTACAACCTTTTAAAACATGTATAACCAAACTCCACTCAGAATCAATTTTTATTAGCAAAGATTAACCATTGATGTAAATTAAATTCCCCTTTATAGGTAGGTACCTTCCCAATCTCTCACCTACAACAATGGCCAACCTAACTTGCGAAGTGTATCCGTACTTTTTATTTATTTTACTAATTATTAGAACTCTGAGTTACATTTTTTATATTTCTATATTATTTTACATCTAAAAATTAAATTTTTATATTTGTATTAATATTTTTTTTTATATACAACCCTAAATAGCTAGTGTATAAATTAATTTAAAAACAAGTTGTTGGTACTTATTAAATTTATCAATTAAGTTACGTCATTAGTTTTTAAACAATTTTTAAAGTTTGTTAAAATTAAAATTTATTTCCTACTAATTTTATCAACGTTAAATTATATTTGACTAAAGGCAAATCATAAGGGTTTATCAGATATACAGCTTAAATTAATATGATGAGAATATTATAAATTGTGCTTACAACATTTAATGGAAAAATGAGATTATCCATTAGAAAATTTTAGCACGCATAAAATGTCAACAAAAATTTACACATTGTGTAAAAATAATTAACTCAACCTTATTAAAAGTTATTGACAAAAATTTTTCTAAAAATCGAATTTACAAGATGGCTATCTCAATATTTTTTTTTTTATTTAAATAATAATTTTACATTTTTTAATTTTGAATTCCTTATCAATAAAACTTAACTAGAAAATATTTAAATTATAGAAGCAAGATGTATTAGTAATTAACAAAAAAAAAAAACTTAAAAATATTCAATGGACATTTTTAAATAGTATTGTTACACTCTGTATAATATATAGACGAATTTTTTAGTAGGTAGAAATAATAGAAACACAAAGTATACAAGTATAAAGTATTATAGTCCTTTTATTATAAAATGTTCTCAGTTTTATAATATTATAATGTTCTATTCTTTTAAATTATTGAATCAACCCTTTGTGATGATTAATTAATAATTGTTAGGTATCTGTATTGTTAGTTAATTTTCTTTTGTTCTTCTATTTGTATTATATTTTATATAAAATCACTTAAGTTATGTATTTTCATTTGTATACATTCTGCCATAAATTTCTCATGATTTTCCACTTCACTACGTTTTATTTGCGATTCTTCCTATCTGTGTTCTATATCCGAAACAAATCATTCCCTTCGTTTTTACACCAAATCTCCGTCCCTATTTTCCATACCAATTGTTGCAAAAGTTCATACTTTTCGTCCATAGGGTGCTATAATCTATAATCTATATATATATATATATATATACACACACACACACACACACACACATACATATACACAAACACACTAAAATATCACCTACTTTTATAAATTTTCAACTTGACATTCACAACTGTCGTAATTACTTTACTATGGTTTTCTCCGGTTCAGCTGGTATAGGTATAGTTACGCTTGAAATCATTTACTACAAAAGCTCGAAATATGTTTGCTGTTTTAAGTATTCAATTTTATTAAAACAATTATTTACTACATTTTAAATTATTTTTAAACTTTTAAATAAAATATATATTTATGTTATTATATTGAATATAATAGCAGGTAAGTAAATTAACAATATTATAATTTGTTTAAACCCTAATGTTAATATTATATTATTGATAATACAATATCAATACAATTCAGTGATTGATACATCAATATAATCGTATTATTGTTTTTCGCTGAATTATTTTAATGACGGGTCAAATGTATTAAATATTATTTACATACAATAATATCATAATAACTAATGATGAGTTAAAGTTTGTATTTGTAAAACATAACGAAAATTCTTATTATTAATATTATTATTATTCAAACAAAGATTATGTTAATTGATAGCTACAACCATTTGGGAAATATAAATAAAAACTCTCCCCGAAGTATTATAGTATTATACTGAGTTTTATGAGATGATAATAAATTCAAAATTATATATACCTGTTGAAAGAAAAAAATGGTTTCATCAATAATTTGAGTCATTAAAGTATTATTGTAATAATAATAATATCTATACCCTATAATATTATAGAAGTAGCATTAATTTTTCACTACACTAGGCTAAGAAACTTAACGAATACATAATATTATTACCTGGGTTACGTTAAAATTAAAACAAATTATAATAATAATAAAAAAGACTGACATACTTTATGTGTGGATAGGCCAATTTTGTAGGTGAGAAGTTGGGTAGGTAATAGAGCTGAAATTCAATGTACATATGTACGCAACGCTTAACCATTGCAAACGCAAAAAATTCGGAGCTGAGTTCGATTAATAGTGTTGCTTTTTAAATAATTGTTTAATATTGTAACTATTTTCCCTTTCGTCTGGTTCCCCTGTGTTTTTCCCGGGATTCCCCATTTGTTGGGAAAATCAAAAAATGATTTCCCTAAAGTACATCTCCAATTAATAGTAAAATTAGCTCAGTTAATACAAAATTTAACCTTAAAAGGTAAGTCAAAAATTAAAATATTATATTTTAAAAATTGTTAAACAGAATTTTGAATTTATTAATGCAAACTAGATATCCCTAAGTTGTATGGCTATATAATATAAGTACTTAAAATGATGAGCGGTAGTAGATACAAAATCAATTTCGAATTGGTAGAATTTTCCATCAATATACCTTTTAGAATTTGCAATAATATTTTCAAAATGTTTCAGTAAGTATACTTATTCCAAAACATTATGGCGTTATACCAGAATATAGGTATATAGATCTATACATATATACCTATATTCATTACTATTAATGAATATTATAGTTTAGCTACCTACCTACTAAATATTAATATTCAAAGAAATTTCTATACAATAGTACGAGTTTCATTGCTTAACATACGAAATATAAATTAAATGTACACGTTGAAATTATAGTAACACAATATTAGGTTGAAACGCGTATAACGCGTAACAAAATTATCTATTATATAATTAAAATAGCATTTTCATCGAAATATAATAATTTTGAGAAGATACATAGAATAATTTAATTTTTAATCTGTACGCAACGATAAATCATTGGTAATGATGGTAATCTAACCTAACGATACTGAGCAAAGTTTGGTCAAATATATTTTGAAACGCTTTCATTTTTATGATTTTCGTACAACTGAAAACTTGTAAAAAATTGTATTATGCTCAACTTGTTTTTATTGCCACGAAACGCCACTTATGATGAACCTCATATGTTACATTTTCGAGAAATTATGTTGCGTACGCCAAATAAATGTTATCTGCATAAAATCTAACAAAATCTAAAATAACTTGACAATTTCAAATAGTAATTAATTAACTATCACTTACGATGACGTATTTTTAAATATTTTTGATTTTTTTTCTCATATATAGCTAATAAGGTTAAAATATATGGAGTAGAGGCTCGTTGTTATTGTGACTTTAAATCGACAGTACTATTTCATCAGACATTTTTGCGAGTACCTATACATTAATAATTTATGTGAAGGCTTACCGGGTGCATTTGACGTTATAATAATAATCCACTGCTTCATTTTTTTATTTATATTTATATAAAAATTTTTCGTCGGTTAATACATCAATGGTGGATGGTGGTCAAAGAGGAAATGAAACTGACAAAAATTGGACTTTTTAATTCAAAATTGTATTTTTTTAACTTTAAATGAAAATATAATTTATTAATTAATTATTTTCTAGTGCTTTTCATAATTTAAAGTCAATATTATTTGAGATTTTTGAGTGCAATAAGGAATGTATTGGTTTTATTGATATCTAAGTTTTGTACGAATTTTATCAAAATTAAATCTTAAAACATTAATAAAACAATAACAAAAAATACTATATTACCCTTTAACTTTTATTTTTATCACGTATCATAACTTATAATGTACTCTTTATTTAATTTCTATGTATTTCTGTTTGGTCAAACATTTTTATTCACATTGTTTGGTTTTAAAATAATGAATAATGTACATTTCCGTACATTTTTCAGTTAACCTATATTTTTTTTTTTGGTTTTTCCCAATATTATTTAAAAAATTACTTTCTTATAATTACTAACTAGAAAAAAAATATACACCGTGTCATTTAACCCTTTAGGAGTTGAATTTTTTTTTTTAGTAACCTAAGTATATCCTATTCCATTACTTATTAGTATAACCTTTTTCCATTACAAATTTCATCAAAATCGCATCAGCCGTTTATCCGTAAAAAACGTAACAAACAGAGTAACTTTCACATTAATAATACTATAAAGGTCTATGACGTGATCAATTAAAAATATGAGTTTTTATAATTATTGTTTTAACTAAGCGAATTGTTCTTCGGAGTGTGTAAAAAGTTCATTAATTTATTATGGGCAGTAATAAATGATTGTTTTAAAAGTAAATTATCACTCGGTGTAATAATTGAAATGTATAAAATGGCTAGAAAACAATTAAACAATATATGAGGTATTATTAATGATCATTACGAACTTAAAGATTATGATAAAATAATTCGACTGTTTAATAACAAACAATAGAACACGGTATGTCAATGACTCGATAATTATTGATGATTGATTAGCGATTACTGTATTTAAAGTGATTGTCTATAATACCTATAGTGGAAGTTTTTGAAAGCTTATAATATTATTTCAATAGGAAACGTCCGAGTATATAGTTTTGATAAATAGTTGCGTTATATTTGATTTCGTTTGTGAAAAAAACAAATCAAATAGTGAATTGAAACAAAGATAAAAATAATTCGTAATATTTTTAACATTTCGTATTTTAGATTCTGATGAGTGAAGTGCAGAATGGTAAAGAATTGGTTTTACTATAATGCGATTCGCTTAATTTTTCTGTTTGCACACAGATTTCAGACTAGATAACCTGGCCCAATTATCAAGTTTAATAGCAGTTTCAGGTAGAAAATATTGTCCAATCAGTTCATTTTAACGGTAGTTTTTTCTTGTTCTTAACTATGGTAATAAACTAGAAAAAACCGTCGAGAAAACTGGATATTTGACTCAACAATAGTTTCAAATAACACCGCTTTTGTTTATGTTGTTTCGATGCAGGGAAAAATACAAACGTAACATTTGTGCAGAATACTTGCGATTAGCTATTCTTAGACGTGATTCAATTTTCAAAACATTCTTGATGTTTTTGAACAATTTTTATAGCGATTTGAAAGTTTCAAATTTCTTTAGTTTTACGCATGAATAAATATTGTTTGGCTTCGATAAATACTCGAAAATTTGATACAATTTCTTCGTTAGTTATTTTTATAGAAATGTAAAAATATCAAACATCAATAGTGATGAGTTTTTTTTTTTTTTTTATATGCGCCTGAAGTAATGAAGAAAAACGATAAATTAACAACATTTTTCATTATTTTTTTTTTATAATTCCACTTATATGAAGTCAATTTGATTAAGACACCTAAAAATTCTACACAATTATTTGACACCAGGTTTATCGTATGTTGTAGTTAGTGGTAAAAAAAAAGTCGAGAGCTGCAATGTATTTGCTTTATTTACTTAAATAAACGCTTTAAATTTAAGTTTATGATAAAACTCGTTGAAAACAATTTATTGTGTTTAACTTTTTATTAGTACAAAAAGCTAATACAGTTTATAATTCATCGACAAAAAAGAAAAATTCGGTTTTCCGAACCTCGATCAGAATTGTTTTTCGTTTGTAATGATTTATCGTTGCATATTGTAATATATAATATAATAATAACTTATGTTCTTTAATATTCTAATAACCTTTCAACTTACACAAGCTACAACAGTGGCCTGTCGTGGTCTTTTATTTTGTTTTGTTTCTGTAATAATATTAAACGAGTATACTGTACTACTATTATACGCATAACATCAATATTATCTAAAATCGACGCGAATATAAATTGTTTAAGTGTTATATTATTATTTTCCGACGACACTTCAGTCGCGTAATATACAATTAAAATAAGGAACGCTCGCTTATTATATCTTTGGCGCGAGGTCCCGGGAAAATTATGTATATATATAATGTATAAACGCTATATTATATCGTCGAAAACTAAGTTTCGAGATTCGAAATTCCAATCTTATATCACAATTTGCGAGAATATTAACTTTGATACAAGTTATATATACCATTCCTAATTCCTATAAGTATGCGCATACGCGAAAGCGCGCGAAAATGGAGAAATTGTAATCAGCGGCGGTTTGCGGTAAATTCTCATTAGTAGATATAATTTATGAGTACGATACAATAAAAACGCGTACACGGTCTTCGTAAAAATTATACATATATAGATAATAATCGTATTAATATTACAAATACGAAAGTTTGTTCGGGTGGATATTTGTTTTCCCTTCGCGTCAGTGGCGTACGTGGACAAGGCAAGTGAGGTAAACGGCGCGTGACCCCATTAAGGAAGGCTCATAAAAGAAGGATGAAAAACGTAAGAAATGTATTTAATTTAAAATATCAATAGACAATATGCCGTGTTGTACAATAAGTTTTAGACATTGAGTGAAGCGAGGAATGTATTGGTTTTACAATGATAGTTATTTTTTTTTTACTGTGGACAGCTTTTCTACCATCAGTGTTGATCCGATTTACAATGATAGCACTTTTTCTAAAAGGAAATCTGACTGTGGTGGTATTATAGGGAGATCATTTTTTGAAATTTTCGTTAGTATTCGAGATTTTCAGAAAAAACTGGTTCTATAGGTAAAAAAGATTAAGAGGCTAAAAATAAGGTTGTTGTGGGCAACCGTTTTTATTTATTGTTATTATTATTTTATTATTTTAAAATTCTTATGTTTTAATATTTTTTAAACAATTGCCATTGTCGTAAAAACGCATATTAGTGAAAAAGCAATACTATTAACCGAGTTCCGCTCAGAATCGTTTTTCGTTAACAATTTTTAATCGTTTTGTGTATTTATAAATTAAATTCTGCTCTATATCCTATCTTACCAACTTCTCACCTACAACTACAGTGGTCCATACGTGGTGCGATGTATATACGTCCATTTTTTATTTTCATTTTAATTATGATTTGATACGTCAGTGTCTGTATTATATTAGAAAAAAAAAACTAAGAAATTCAATTTGTATGTTATTTAAGTAAATATATGCGATATATATTGACAGAAGCACTCACGATTTCGAATACCAGACTCGTATAATTACAACACTCATAACCTGGTGAGGTAGGGCGGGGCGGGGCGACCACGGTTTTACACAGGAGCTGGAAACACTGAACGATTTAAATCGGATTTGCAGATAGCGAACGTTCGATAGTTGGATTGATTTTTTTTTTTTATTTGTTAAATAAAATATAATAATGTTGATATTGTTGTACACTAATATCTATAAATAAATATTGTAAATTATAAAAGTAAAAGTTTTCTTTTTTAAATTAAAAATATACTTTTGTAACACGATTATTTATTTTTTTTTTTTCTTTTTGCACTACTCACGCCAAAACTATTAAACGGATTGAGCTAAAACTTTGCACAGATATTTTTTCAGACCAGGAATAACATACGAGCTAATTTTTTTCGTTTCAAATTCAGCCCCTAATGGGGGGGGGCTGACATAGAACTATTGGTAATTTTAGTATGAAACCAAATTATTTTTGTTAATTTATGGGTGATGCGGATGAAATGAAAAAAGAAATGTTAAAACGAATAATAAGATATTCTGTGTAAGGGCCGTAAAGTTGTCGCGAGAATACGAACGACGAACAGTAGTTACCATAGAAACAAGATTACTTATGGTTCATTGTTGGATTGCATTTCTTTTGACACGGGCAACGCCGGACAGCCAGTAATATTGTAATTTAGTTAACCATACAAAACCGAATATATACAGATATGTATTATATTAACTAGGTATTTAACAGGTGGCGCGTATAACACGATTTTGCTTGGTACAAGGAACGCATTTTACGGCCGTTTTTGTTTAGTTACGGTTAAACGCGCGTCGGTATTTCGATTACCACGCTCGTGGTTTGCGTTTACGAAAACTATTCGCGGGTCAAACATTTAGGTACCTACTCATATATCTTATCGTCACAGGTAAAATGGCCAAGAGCTGTGAAAAATTATACGAATAATAATACCGGGTCCAAGTCGCCCGCGTTTTGCTTCGGAGGAAGAGGGGAAAGGTATTCGAAGTCGGCGTGAACGAACGCACGGGCTCATATTTTTTTTTATTTTTTTAGATAATCCGAAATTATCGTAAATACTAAATCGCACTTTGATCTAGTTTAAAATATAACTACGCGTAGGTAAGAATAAAATGTTTGTCTACACCGGCTCAAACCAAGCCCCATTTACACCATCAGACACCCTATTAAGCTCACCCAGACCTTCCAAAGTAAATCACTTACACGAGACGTGCAATTTTGTAAAATGTTTTATTTACGATGCCAACCAAGAATTATCATTTGCGTGATTATTATTAAAGATACTAATATAAAACAACTATAATATTCTAGCCAACTCTATGAGTAAATTTTATTTTTTTGATAGCCATAATATACAACGGGGACAAATTTTATCGATGAAGGAAATTAAAGACAATTTCCAAAATTGTCTCCTATTTTGTACAATTTCAAAAAATCGATTATATTAATACGGCTATGTTTAATGATAAGATGTTTCCAATAATCTACTGCCCGATGCTTATTTAATGGGAAGAAGTACTGCTAGTTTTACGTAAAAATATGTCATTTAAACTAAAAATCTGGACAAAAATATAAGAATGTCAAAATGTATAAAACGAATCTCAATCGGATTAATAAGTTTACCAGTTATTATGAAGGAGGTGATTTTAAATATCAATTTTTTTTTTTCTTCTGTGATATCGATGAACAAAAATATGATATTTTTCTATTACAAAACACATACAATATTTTTAGAATACTTAAAATCTCCTTCTTTAATACCTAATAAACTCGTTAATCACTCCGAAACCGTTTTAAAAATTAAAATCCGCCAAACCTAAATCCAACAGTTTGGTATAGCCTTTCGTTCTGAATATCATTTATTTTTCAACGATTATTTAACCCGTGAAATATTTGTGTACATTGACAAGATTTAAAATATGATAGTATGACAAATATTTGAAATCGACCGCAGCTGATATTGTTTCAATATATCATCACATAATTTAAAGCATAAACAAATAAATGGGTTAATCAATACGGTTCCGCATCTTAGCATAATAAAATGGCTGCTAAACTTCATACGTCTTGTAGAACTCGTATATTATATTATGGTCGTTTACCTATCTATAGTAGTTATATAATGGACCCACAGGGCGATTATCAAATAATTAACGCGGGACGACGGAGTGAATAACAATATAAACGTCGGCACTTCGAGAGTTTCGTTTACGGCCAAACACGTCTCTCGGGTGCTTCCTATGCATATAATAACAATAATAATATAGTCTCATCTTTTGCGGAAATTAAATACCTGTTAATGCACGTATACTATATACTTTGTACACAAATGCGGTAATGAATTCATTGATTGCTCGTCCACCCGTCTATACACCCTGTAAGCAGAATGGTTACGGCGGCCAGGATCTGTTAGGTGTAACCGAAAAGATTGGGGGAAAAAGGTTATAGTAGCATGTTACCGTCGTTACCGCGCGCGGTTATAAGCATCGTCAACGGCGTCGGGATCCCCAAAAATAACGGACTACCGAAGGCCGTCGTCGTCGTCGTCATCGAAATTAATACCTTCGGAGACGGCTCGACGCGTCGAGGGATTACCTACTGTACATGGCCGTGACGCGAACGAGAGCCTGGCGCCAAGTCGGCTCTGAACGGTACTACCGTATAGTTGGTCGTTTCTCGGCGTGCGTGCGCAAAAGTTTCCCCGTTTACGAATGGGGAAAGGTCGTTCGGGAGTGTGCATTCACGAGTGTGTATCGGCGGCGTGTGAAAATAAGGATATGAGCGTAGACGGGGAGGAGAAGGAGGGAGGAGTCGGGTAACAAAAGGTTAAACGGGCTATGGCAAACGAGATAAAACAGACATTCACCGCAAAAACCCCATGCCACGTGTGTGTGAGTGTGGTTTTGCGCACACTGTATACATTATATTATCATATATATGTTTAGATAGATAGGTATACGCGCACACGTGCAGCAGTGGCGACGAGTGTTCCGAGGTTTTTGTTTTCCATTTAAAAGGCGAAAGAAAAGGGGTCTGTGACCGGACGGGGAGGAGTAGGGGGTTAGGGTAGGGGCATCGAAAAAAAAAGAATTCCGACACGTCGTCGCGTATATAGCTGCAGTAGGTTGGTATACACACATTTGTAACGCGGCCCGCGTTCATCAATTACAATTGACGTTTTATTTATCAGAGCTGCCAATCACACACGAGCGAACCTCTTGATTTTTTTTTCACTCGCGCACCACCGTCGGCTATGTATGTAGGTAGATAGGTAGGTAGATAGGTAGGTAGGTAGGTAGGTAGGTAGCTAGGTAGGTAAGTACCTATATAGTCGACTCTTCAAAGTTTATGTTGACTCCTATTATACGCGTGTATAAAATAATAATATATCGTTTGCGCGCGCATTCAACAATGAGTGCTATCAAAAGTGCAGATTTTGCTCGTATTCTACAAAAAAAAAAAAAAAAATAAAAAACTTTTAACGAAGCTGCAATGTCCGCCAAACGAATTTGACATCCGTCAACCTAATAATGTAGCCCGAATACGCACCCGGTCCAGGGTTCAGGTCTATATTACAATCAAGATCGGACATTATTTTGAAGAGTTTAGTAGTGATGTAGTGCTGTAGTGATGCATCACTTTCATAAATCACGGGTTAATAAATAGCCCGTCTCGTAAATATTATTTCAAGTACCTTTTATACATTTACAATGTGAAAATTTACAATTTTTCTTTGCTTTAACTAATATGTATGGAAATGCGCACTTTCGACCAGAATAAATTTAAATAATAGGGGAGTGTCAGCCTGTGACGGCGACTATCATAGATCGTTTGAAAACTGCAGGACACATCCATAGGTGATAAAACTATACTTGCTTACAGCAACGCAATCACCCCTTTGGTGCGTGTTATAATGCCGCATTATAAAGAATATATTAATGATAATTTTACAATTTTGCATTCGAAATGGGTACATTAATAAATGTCCAAGTCACGAAAAATATTAATTAGTTTTCATCATATTTTCGATTTTTGTTGTACATGTTTACATGCATATTATGCCAATTTCAATGTCTATATGATTTATCATTCTTACCTACAACTTCTAATTATTTTAGATTATTCTAAGCGTAGGAGAAAATGTAATTGTTTTACTATGATGTGATTTTTTTTTTCAACAACTTTTTTTACAGAAATCTTGTTTAAATAAAAAAAACCTACTGGTAATTTTTTTATTTCCCTTATATTTATCAAAATAATTTGAGGAAAAGTGAAAGTTTACGGCCATTACGATTTAATTATTTTTCCTATTATGATTTTTTTGTAATTAGGTTACAAATAATAATCGTATAAATACCTTAAATTACACAGCATGTATAATAAGTATATTATTTTTTTCAAGACATGCAGAGCGTAATTCGTTAGCAATAATTTATCCTTGCATACAGATATAAATTTAAAAACTTTATGTATCCTACTATCTCAACTTCTCACCTACAATAGTGGCACACCCATAAGCAATATCGGCTATTATTTTCATCATATTATATTTGATAATAATGGTGCGCAGTATTGTTGTATTTGTGAAAGAGGGTCTTGAAAAAATCCTGATTGCACCACTGAGTACCTATACTTAGACGTCTTCGAAGTCTGTTCGAAATTTTAAAATAATTTTCTTACATACGTGATAGTTTAACGGTTCCCGTGGCCGTTTTTCCCCAGTCTATTGCGAGTGTAATATTATACACTTGCACACGCACACACGCCGACCGTATAATCTTGCAACGGAAAAACTTTTCCTTCGCGTATAATTTGTTTCTCGTATAAAATAATGAAAGGACGACGCCCTCCAAACCCATCCTCCTGTAGGTAAGTACGTCGCCGTCACTGTAATAATATAATAATAACGACGATGACGAAAAAGTTATATCAATGAATATTGAGAACGACAACGAAACCGAAAACCTTGAATTTATATAGCTATTTTTCAGTGACACGTCGCCGCCTATGACTTAGTTATTGTTATTTCTTAATAGATAATATGCAGATCAAACAGATTTTCATACAAAATACCTGAACATACAATTTTTTTTAAAAACTAATAGGTTGTTACTGCTGATTGGTGTGCCACTGTTGATACATAGAGGAAATTAATTTATATCTATATACACACATTCATAACAAAAAACAATTCTGTGCGGAATTTACTGTATAAAATATTTTGTTCAAAAACCGATATTTTATTGGACTTTTTGTGTTATTTTTTAGTAAAAATTATGAATTTGAAACAAATAAATAACATTTTCATTATGCATATTTATTTGGTGATTGGTTCGTATATTATGATTTAGTACTGATTTCAAACTAAAGTAAACAATGAAAGATGTTGAAGAACAAAACGTGGTGTTGAAGTTCATGATACATAGAGCACCCGTTACGTTTTTAAAATCCTGGCATAGGTGTCGACAATATAAAAATAAATACTTGTATGATTTGAATTATATTGATTCTATCATATATATTATTATTTTTATCGTACAAAACCGGAAATTGTTTTATTCAGATTTTTTTTTTGGAAGCTTATGTGGTCTATATACTGAGTGTTATTAAAACACGTGATATTCTCAGTTCTTATGCAAGCTTATATTATTATACTCGCGTGTAGGTATAGAAGTTTTAAAATAGTTGCAGTATATTGTTAACACCGTCACCGCCATCTCGTTTAATTCCATTGTCTCGTAATCACGTCCTAGAACGTGCGGTAAATATTTTTAATGATCAAACTACGGCTATAGTCGCTTTCAAATAACTCACAAAAGCTTCATCAAAATTACATTACTCTTCTCCAATATTATAATTTTATCTCGACTGGAATATTATACATAGGTACACATAATTCCGATAATATTTAATATATTATAATAATTGATCTCGTATCTAGAGTGAGCATATTTTATCAATCATGTAGTACGTATAATCAAGTATCGATATACGAATTAAGAGATATACAGGACACGAAATGAAGAGTTTTGTCAGTGTTTACATTCTTGAAGCGAATATGGTCTCATTGTGTGTCAAGACAACTGTGCTTTGAAACAGTAGTGTAGGTACCTATGTAATAATTTAAACAAAAAAAAATCATATGTATTTATAATTATCGTCTATTAACTATCACGATCCTTATATCACCCTATCACGATTTAATTTAAGATAGTAATCAAGGCACATACTTCATTCATAATACATATGATGGTGCCAGGTGCTTTGCCACAAATTGAGAAGGTTCATAAATCACTGATAAGACGTTTCAAATCTAATATATTAACTCATAGTAAATATTGTGTTATCGTTTTACCCGTGCAAATTAAAAATAAATGATATTTTTATGTTGAATTTTATGTTTTTAGTCAAAATTCGTAATTTTAAAATATTAGTGCGGTTAAATAAATGAATATATATATAAAAAAAAAAAAAAAGCTGATACTGGGGCTGCGAATGGCCATTGTTGTAGGTGAGAAGTTGGGAAAGTAGGATACATATGGCTATTTCATTTATATCTGTAAATAACGATTAAACCATTGCTTGATGAAAAACGACTCCGAACGCAGTTCGGTAATACATAATTTGAAGTGCCGTAATTTTTTTTTGCGATTTTTTATTTAAATTTGATTTCAAAACGATTATTAAAAAAAAATATCGTTCAATGATTTTTGAAATTTTACCAAGTCTAAAAATAAATCCAATAAAATTATTATTATTAAGTTGCAAGTCTCTACGAGTATTTATAACCGGATAACAGCAAAAAAAACTCCCAAAATTAGAAATTCCTTAAAAGCTCAAAAGTGGCATAAAAGGTTTTGTGATGATACCGGTGAGAAAATAAATCAAAAAATTGTCTTGTGATTTTTCAATGAAATCATTTATTCTGGTAAAAAATGTCGTTCGTGTTTTTATAAAATAATGAAATCGTGAAATTGTACATTTTCCTACGTTTTATTCCCACTTAAGTGCTTTTATTTAAAAAATGCCCTCTTTAAAGTACCATCTGGACAACTTGAGCTTTCATAAAAGTTGCTACACGTAAAAATGGGAGCAAGTTTACTGGGATGAAACGTGTTCATAGACTAAAACAAAAACAGAAAAAAAGAAATCAATAGCATTGTAAAACCAATAGCTCTCTCGGTACGCTCGAAATCTAATATCTCCAGTCATGCAGACCGTTAACTTATAGATAGTTACAAGACCCAAATATTGGTCTCACTTGCCTTCGGCCCAAAGTGTCACGGAATTTTCGTCATGAGTTGCTTTTAATAATTTTGGAAAAAATATAGTTACACCGAAAAATGGCAACACTGTAGTATTTGAATCCCATGAAAACATACCAATAATTTATTGGCAATAAATGAGACTATTAAGAATATTTTTTAAAAAAAATAGTGAGACCCAAACATATGGTTCTCGCTGCGCGTATTTTGTTTTTTTTTTTAATTATGATTAGGTTCAAATGTCTCGTTATAAACAGAACGACTGTATCTTAAAAACTCTAAGCGCACATAGTGTTTTATTATAATAATAATAATAATCGTATAGTTTATCGAATCTCTAATATTTGTGTACCATATACCGCTTGACCTCTTGCAAAATATAATAGCAAACGAGAATAAAACGACGGTGGTGTTTTTCAAAAACCATTTATACCTACGATACGCAGATTTAAAAGTTATTTTTAAAGCTGCCAAACTTTTATCCTAATGCGGATTATAGTAAACAAAAGTGCACCGGATAGGTACTACGCAACACTTATTTGCATGTGTCCCTGCTCTCTAGAGAAAGTTTTTAAACTTCTGGTAAATTGAGCTGATTTAATGCATGCAGGGAAAACATATAATCCGCACTGCAATAAGCTTTTGTCGCTATACACACCATTTCAAAGGTGCCATTTTTCTACCCCTATGGCCGGCCACATCATACTGTATTGTTGTTATTATTAGATGCGGTATTTGTGGTGAACTTTTGTGTAATGAAACTTCCGTCGACGCGTGACGGCGGTGGCGGTGGTGGTAGAAATAATAGTTTCTGACCACTACGACTCGCGCGTCCAAACTCTGGAGGGCCACTATAATATTATTACTGTACAGTGTAATATTGATAATATTATTCATATTTCATGGTAAAAAGAACAAGAAAAAACAGAGCCGAAACACGAGACACTCGAAATCTGTGTGTAAGATGATCGAAATATTGTTGAAAAAGGGAAAATATATTTCGCGCTGATCTACATGTTTGACGTAAATCCGTTATCGAGAAATCGTATTTAAATCGAGAAAACGAGTATAAGATTTTCATTTATTTCGAATTCGGTATTCGGACGCGCAAGGTCCGCTACAATAGTGGTTCGCAATAATGCTTAAAAAAAAAAATCTTACAAAAAACATTTTTGACGAGTAAATTTTATTTGTTCGTTTTATCTTATTTAATATGAAGTATATGAAATAGTACCTAATACTGTGAACACTTGTGTAGCGGAGGGTTTGTATATTATTATTAATTTTCATATTCTGACCATTGAGCTTTGGTCACACATGTTTCGAGCATCAATATTATTGTGAATAAAATGTATATAGTTGCAAATTTCAAATGTTTATTACACAAGTTATATTCTTATTTTATTTTTCTCAATTAAATTGAAACTTACGCTTAAACGGTTAAAAAATTTAACATAATATTGCAATAATGTTTTGTCTGCGGTTCGTCATAAAATAACAACAACAACAAACCTATTTTGTGCAGAATTCGGTAGAACATTTGTTCAACAAATTTGAACTATAAACATTCTCGATTCGTAACTACAAAACAGAAAACAAATTGTCTTAACGAATTATACATGATGAATTTGATTTTTAAACGCACATTAAATAAATATACGACATTTTCACGCTGAATTTTTTTTTACCGATAGTAAATATCACATTTTCTAAATATTTTTATTGAACTAAACATATTTTATTCACTTAAATCGATAAATATAGATATGTGTAAAATGTGGATAGTTTTAACAATGAACTAGAACACGTGAACTTCTCACAATTATTATAAAATGAAATCATGACGAAAAGCTTCCGATATTTGTATACTACCACCAAAATAGCTTATATCAAATTTACGAGTATTTATTCTAAGTTAATCAAATTCAAATAAAAAACAATTAATTAATTTCAAATACAATATAAAAATATATGCAATATATGCAAATAAATCAAAAATTGCAATCGTATTCCAAAATTATATTATTCTTCTTAAAAACCCTTCCATAAGTATTCGCTGAAAATTTTAAATTTCACTGATTTTAAATACAAAAAAAAAAAATTAAAAACTAATGAACGGCGATTCTGGTGAAAAAACTGGTTAAAAAATAAAAAGATTGCAAACAACTCACCCAGAATCTATAAAAAAAAAACTGCAAAAAATTTTCCTTCGAACCGGATTTGAACCAGTGACCTATGGATATCTGTGATTTTACCACTACAGTCCACCGCTCTACCAACTGAGCTATCGAAGGATGCTGAATAGTGAGTGGATTAAGTCATTTAAGTAAACGTGATATTATATACTTTCACTTCGAGACAAGTGTAGTTTGTATCAACATTCTAATGGACTATATAGAGTATAGCTATTAGTATACATATGTATATAGCATTTAATATTATTTTAGATCAATCGATGTATTAACTAGACAAATTTTCTAATGGCTACTAATTGGAAACACAATACCTGAAATTGATAATAGGAGCGAGATTTTTTGGCGAAAAACTCTTCACAATACAGACCGTAGAAAAAAATTCACACTTACACATTATACTGAAATTATTACTAATAATACATTCTTAGCACCATTCAGCATTATGTAAAAACAATTTAATTAAATACCTCAAAAAATTCAAAATTAATAGCTAAAAATACCTCACTCTCCTGCATACGGGCATACATAACAAAATATAATATTTTAATCCGGACAGTTAAAAACATTTTGAACATTTCTGCAAATCATGACGGAAATCACGGTCGTTATTATTTACGTACCTAAGTAAATAAAATAATATTGTATCGCGTTAGAAACAAAATAATAACTTTTTCTAACACAAATATTTTCTACTACGTAATATTTTCTACGAGAAACAATGGTAATGCATATTTCCATTAAGTTTCAACATTTTCTCGATCTGTACCTATACCGGTCAGAACAGCCATTTAAAATAATATCAATATAAACGAAACAAATTATTATATTCACAAAAACGTATATTAGAGATGTGATGTGTCAAGACGAAAATCGTCGATCGAATAAATTGCATTCTAATAAAGAACAAAAAGAACGTTCGCAAATTCGAACGTATTGTTTATTATACAATGTGTAATTTGAAGATCTAACACACTAAGTAATTTTTGTTTTGTTATATCAATTTTTTAATTTTTTAATTTTAATAGTTACTAGGAATCTTTTATACATTAGGATTCTTTTATTAAAAAAAAAGAAATGTTTAACAAATTGTAATAAAAAATATGTTTACAAAGTCCAATAAGCCATTTTATAAATTACAACAATATGTTGGAGTTACAAATGTTTACTAATCGTTAAAATTTTACCGTTTTTGAAATTTACAAAATAATTTTTCAGAGAAAAATTATTAAACTGATTGATATTATTTTGTATTGTAGAAGAAAACAATATAAATATCGTAAACTTCTAAAAATTATAGAAAATCGTCCTAAGTAGATAAAAATTAATATCAAATTTGTTTTTAGTTTTAGTTTAAAAATACATGAGAATCAAAGTGCAAGATTCTAGTACCTCCTAAGTATTACAAAAAAATAAAGAAATAACTTATAAATGTTGAACAAAAGAAAATGTATTGCATTTGTCAAATCTTCATGGGACACTTTGTATAATATATACCAAAGAGTGGAAAAAAATTGTGCATTTTGCTTATTGAATAAAAAAACAAATATGAATTATATTGATACAAAGTGTGTCAATTTTTCTTAAGATACTCGTCGGTATCTTAGAATTACTACAATATTGTTATATTAACTTTTACAGATGATCGTTTACAAAAATAAATATTCTAATAGATTAATACAAGCAGTTCTATTGAATTTCAACATCTACTTAAAACTTGAACTTGAACTTATAAAACGAATTTCGATTTTCAAACTGAAAACCTATATGATAACCGTATTTTATTTATATACAGAGTGTCATAAAATGTGTAAATAAAAATGCATTACTTTAATACATCTATTAAATAGACCGCGGTATGTATATTATAAAAATGTATATGCTTAAAGGTGGTAAGAAGCAGCGACGGCCGTAATGGCGTGGAAAATTCACACAATCCCCAGGGTTGGGAGCCAAAAAAAGGCTGTGAAAACACAAGTTATTTTAATAGCATATTTTTTTAGTTTATTCTTAACGTATCGTTAGGTTAGGTTAGGTTCTCGGCGTCCAACGACGAGAAATTATTACGGTGGCATTTGAAAACGATACAGACGGCGACGACGTATGTTCTCGCCAGGAATTCTTCTACAAATGAAAAAATACGGTTACACTTATCACTATTTATGGAGTTCATATGTTGAAGCTCGAAAAAACATTATTAAAAAAAAAAAACCTCGAAATATAACGGAATTACGCTATAAATCCAATTTAAAAAGCACCATAAAAATCAAAAAAAAAAAAAAAATTCGTATTGTAAATTATTAACAAACAACTGAATATTGCATCTTTACAGCAAGATTATTAACTTTTCAAATAAAAATCGATTTAAAGGATCGCTGAGTGAAAATTCAAAAGCGATATACGTTTATAGCCGTACCTACCTATTATACGGTTATTGGATAAATTTTGAAAATATTCTGTGTATACTATTATTTATTATTCCACGCATCAAAACTTAGCGTACCGCAGAACTTGAATAAATATTGCTGTAAAAAAAAAAATACTAATTTTAATTTGAAATAGCTTTTTTGCACCCCTCTAATTATTACTTTCCGCCTGCAAGAAAATACGATGTGAGAAAAAGAACATTGTCGTTCCTCAATTTTATGCATAGAATACTACCGGTTACCCTTTAATTATTTTTTTAATTTTTCGACCATTCGAAAATATTGTACGGATCGAAGATCTTACACAAGAGACCATTCATGTTGAATTGCATATAAAACAATGGAAAAACGGCAGAGTTGTAATTACTAGTGTTTGAATTGAAAAAACAAATTATCGCAGACGCTGGTTTTAGTTTCGACACCCTTAACATACCCGTTTTATAACCGATAAATGGTACAGTGACCCATGGAGGACTTTATCTTCCGCACTCCATACTACACACAATGTAAATTGAATGACGCATTTGTGTATTTATTAAAACCTGTATAGAATACTTTTCACGATATGAACAACAATCTCTACGATAAATCCGCCTTATCGAATATAAAAACCGTTGAGTATTCGTGGAAAATATATATTATGCATAATTTTCCGTTTTGAACGACAGTAATAATACGAACAGGCGTACAAAACGAAAACGGACGGTCCCGACGAAAGCGCGTCCTTCGATTAATTAAACGGATGCGGTGCGGACGTACGAAAAGCCGAAAGCGGACTCCCGATTCGAGCACAGGAGTCGTGAGAGCGTGCAGGTTGCGCGAGACCACGACGGACGGCCATCGTGGCGACGAAACGTTATCCGAGCTTTCCGTTTTCGACCGCGGGACACCGGACGTACAGAGTGAAGAAATCAAACGTAAAACGTATTACTATTATTATTATTATTATTATTATTATTATTATTATTATTATTTTAAGTGTTTCAGTGCAACGTACGCGCGGAACGACTGCGCGACGGTTTGTTGGGCTCGGTTGTACCGTGCGACGGAGTTACTTTGCTAATGAAGCGAGCGGACCGTCCGACCGTGCCGGGGCCCAATCCCGTCCGCCTACAATAATGATAATAATGATAATGATGATAATAATAATAATAATAATAATAATAATAATAGTATGTGAACCACCGACGCCCTTTCGGGCCTCTCCTGGCTTTTGTCCGCTCGACCTGACCTAACCTAACCGCGACTGCGCTTACCTACGCATATATAATAACGTGTTTTATTATAGTTTCGTTCGTCAGGTGCGATTCTCTGGACGTGGGTACGTGAGTCGCCTTTTTTTTTATATATATATTGTTATGACGAGGTGCTGCTTTTTTTTCAATTTTTTCCTCCCGTTCGAAGTCAGTATAACAGTATAGGTATGCGTGTACTACGCGAGTATACCCACTCGTATATTTATGAACATGTCACGCGTTTTTTTCGTTTCGCAGTTTTTTTTATTATTATTTAGATTTTATATTATATATACTATCATTATTTTTTTTATTTTTTTAACGATTCTTTTTTATTTTTAATCTTTTTTTATTATCATACCACCTATCATTATTTTTTATAGTATTTTTCTTAACGATTCCTTTCTATTTTTAAAATAAATTCTCTTATACCTACGCCGAGAATTTTCCCGGATTGGTTTTTTTTTTTTTACTATACTGTGCGTGGCTGCAGTGTTCATAAAGTTGTATTTATCAATACGAATTTCTTTTTTAAGATTTTCAGATTAATGCAAAAAAAAAAAAAAAAAAAAACTCTTATTAAAACTTTAAACGCTCATGAACTGTACTATTATATTGGTTCAATGTACCATGCCGCAGAATATAAAATCAAAACTATTATAATGTACATATAGATGGCATATTTGGAAAATAATATGTAAAATGTGTATGAATCGGGCTAAATTACTATTACTCATACTTCGCACCTCGGATGGGTGGCCTACTGTTAAAATTTAATTTATGGTGAAAATGTCGACACGTCCGGAGATTTATTATACGCGCCGTTTTAAACCGTAATTTTTGCGATTTCTTTTACTGGGGCAGTTAAAAAAGAATGTATAAAATTACCTATCCGCGCGTGCGTCTACTGGTTTTTGTATCAGAAACTTCGGGATTACTATTTTACAGCATGCCTATTGCATATTTACCTCGAAATGTGTGTCCCACGAGAAAACAACGTTCCGCTTGGAATATAAAACACATATAATGTTGATGATTTCAATTTTATTAGGGAAAAAAAAAAGCCCAACCTACAAAATAAGTGGATGTAATACGTTAAAAGAACCATCGCCGTATATGCGCACGACAACGCGTATACCAAAGTGCACGTTGACGTTTCCTAAACTCGATCGGTCAATATTGTCCGGTTGTCACGACAATTGCTTTTTGTCAGAATACACATATTCAATTGTGTCGTATATATATTGTGCACGGAATTCGACGTTCTTGACGTCATCACGTGGTCCGCGGTGGAAATAAAAATATGTTTATGAATATATTGTGACGGTTGACAAACCACGAACATATATCATAATATTGCATAAAGTGAACCGCAATATTCGAATAAAAAAAAAATAATAATAATAAATAAAAAGGAAAAGTTTCCCCGCGGTATTTCCGTACCTCTCAATATATATATAATATATACGTACACGTATGCGTTATTATTACTATTCAGCTATTCGATCGTCATATTGATTTTAATTTATTGGTACCTAACGTACGATAATGACTTTTTATATAGTAAATTTATGTAATAAAAAAAAAATCGAGCGGAAATCGTTTTCTGTAATATTATTTTATTATGTTTGTATACTCGATATCAGTACCTACTGTATACTTTCTACAGCGAGTTACATTATACAGCAATGCTGTACGACAGCATATTGCGCGTTAATAATCGTATTATACAATTTGATAGTGAAACGTCATCTTGAATATTTATTTTCCTGTCATTTCAATTGTGCTTTTAACAAGTATTTTTTTTTCTTTTACTTAAGTATTATTCACGTTTTTATTTTGAATAATTAGATTAAGAAGGTTTATATATATATATATATAACGGAAAATTATACATTTTTTAACCGATCTGTGTTTTTCACCGGAGAAACCATTATAACCAGAGACAGACGATACGTATCAAAAATGTAGAATTCGATGTCCGATACACGTTTTATTTATAAAATATTATACTATAGGTATCCAATAAGTATTTGATACATTTCAATTTTCGTAAAGTATATAAACATAATAACACCGACAGTTCTATTTTCTGAATTATATTTTAATAAAACGTTAATTAAACCAATGTCTACATACAGCAGTATCTATATAATTATTACAACCCGAGATTATTTCTAGTTAACTGTAATAAGTAGCTATCAAGATCTCGAACACACAACACGGCTATAGGCACGGGTATCTTCACGTGATATTTGTACTCTATCAGTATAATATTGTATAAACGATAAGGACTGCGCTTGTCAATAGACGCTTTCAGAACTACAGCTTCTTGTCCCATTGGCAGCATTACAGCCAACGAAAGTTCCTCCCCTATCTTTTAATTGTACGTATTATAACGTCTACAGACGAGACGTTCGTATTTCGCATAAACGGAAAAAGCACATTACCCAGATCACGTATATGAGATACAAGATTCCGAGATTTTTACTTCCCGCCAACGCGTAGTAGGTACTCATTGTGAGGATTGCAGTTAACATTCCCGCACTATACTTTATAGTCACTAATAAAACTAGATAAGTAATATACAATAAAATGAACATTTATTAGACGTATCCTAATAAAAAAAACCACAATCATAATTAAAACTGAATATTAATTCTGCTATAATATGAAATTGTTACCGTTGACAAACAACTCCCCTTCTCCCCCAATAAAAAAAAAAATAAAAAAAAACATTACGAAAAATAAAAACAGAAAATGGCATAATATTCTAAATTGTTTTATTGTTCATATGTGGTTAAAGCACATCATTGCGCAACATTACGCAGCTCAAATAGGGCATAAAAAATAATACAGTCCAATAGTAGTATCTGTATACGAGTTCCGAGTGTTTATATATCATCTTTTACTTTGTAGTTTAATTTAAATCTGAAACTTTTATAATTGAGTCTTTCACTACCTTATATTGATCGATTACATTGACCGGAACATGAAATAAATAGAGATAAGAAAAATAAATATTTATATTTTTAATTGCCTGCATCGCTATAAATACTGCCACAACATAAAGTCGAAATTATGACCCGGACATACCTTTACAAACATTAAGTTATATGCAATATAAAATTAGGTAACCCTGGTCCAGGTCAAAATCCCGTCACCAAAATGCCGACAGTTAAAATTCCGAATTGGTCGAAATACCGACATTCACATACCGTACACTCGAAGAGGCTGCGTATAGGCAATTTTAAAATCTGTTAACTTACTATGGTACATTTATGTTTGGGTTTTTACAAGGACAATGAGGCGCACTCAAGTATTCACATTTTTATTTAGATTAAATTATCTACATTATACTTCACACTAAATTCAGAAGGAATCGGGTAATATTTCCGAGAGTAAACGTACAGTCGCAGTCGCACTTAGAATAGTGCGATATCTGTTTGTGTTATTAAATATATTGATTTTATTGTATTAATTATACATTTAAAAAAAATATAATTAAAATTGTTTTTTTACAAGTTAATAACCAGTATAATACCTACACAGTTTTAGGGGATTGTTGCTAATCATGTCTGCAAAATTCCGTGTAAAATTGTTTGTTGGAGTTTTAACTTTGTTAAGATTTTAACCCTGTCAGGATTTTGACCCTATCGGGATTGAAACTGTCGGGATTTTAAACGCCTTCCAGGTAACACAGCTACTAGTATCATTATAATGATATATTTGTATAAAATAATTATATATACGAAAATGAAACTAATAAAAACATATTTTTTTATAATTTATTGTTTATTGTTTCGGGCATAAAATTTAAGATTTAAATAAATTAAATTCACCTGTAGTTTCATAATAAAATGAAAACTAATAATAATTAACAGAAATATGTACGTACATCTAAAAAAAAAAAATATATTAATAGAAAAACGAATGGGTACACATATGTACAAATATATTATAACATAATGAAATTGAGTGCTGATGAGTGTTGATTGAAACATTATACAAAAATGACAGGTTTATTGTTTTTATTTTTTATTTTATTTTTGTCAATTATACAATTAAAAATAATACATATAATGACACAATCGTTTATTTGACTCGTTTATTTGTTTCATATATAATTTATAGCCATTCAATTAAGTATAATATGTGTATATTTTAATTAAATGAACTTTTATTTCAATATATTTTCCAAAACTACGTTTGTATTATATTAATAAAAAATATGCCTATCGGACAAAGACGTATGTATATTATATAATTATTTAATATTTTGAATGCAAAAAGCGCTATTTTAACTTAAAGTCGCATACCGAATCAAAGAAAGCTGTATTTATTTATTTTGTTTTTAAGAAAGTCAGTTTTTTATTGCAACGAGAGATGATCATAATATTATTTTCGCACCACCAAATGATAAATCTTTAAATTTTTATATTTATCATAATTAAAATCAATGCTGTGTAACTGTGAATAAGTATCTAAAAATATCAAAATTGTTTAAAACGGTACAAAATGATAAAGTTCAAATTTATTATCCTTAGAGAACTAAAAATGTTATATAAGATATGACAAATTTTACCACTCCTATTGGGTCATTTGTAGTACAATAATAATCTTCTTCTTCTAATAATAATAATAATAATAATAATAATAATAAATGTTTACTGTTCAACGTGAAAACAGAAAACGAAATAAACGTTTTTGGAACTCTCTCAAAAGAAATTTTATAGATCTAATACCAATAATAATAAGCTAGTCATGATTATGATTTTTAAATAATTAAATTGTTTTAGACGGTCGAGAGCTTTTTAATTTTATTATTAAATTTGATATTGATTATTTTTTTTATTGACTTGTTTTGCAAAATTTAGTTCATAATTTGCTCTGGTCAAATATAAACATAGTGATAGTTATCACTCATTATTTTAAGGCCCAAGCCGAATTTTATTTGATTTATTCAAGTTTTATTCGTATTAGTCTTGTAATAAATCGTTTACCTATTATACAACGGGCCAAAAATGGATTTTTTTGTTTTCATCAAAATATTGCATATCAAAAGTCATAGGGTCAATACATATTATTTTGGCAATTATTAACGCAGATATAATAATTTAAAAACGTCGACAAACAAATCGTGCAGGGGATAATAGGTACCGTCGTAGATTAAAGTCAACATATAAATGTCCGTCAAACAAAGCCTATTGCCGTGTAAATAAGAGAAAATACAATTTAAAATATATAAATATATATAGTAGATATTTATAAAGGGGGTGGCGATGAGAACGATGAGAGGGGTTTCGATATAATACGGTTCGCGACCATTGATGGGATCATGAGGACTGCTAATGACAGGAACGGTCGACCCGCTGTAAATTAAGTGCGTCTCGTCTCGGGTTCTAGAGTACGGTTTTTTTTTTGGTACCAGTATGATGGTAAAAAAACCTACCCCCTTCCCCTCGGTTAACCGTTATCACTTATACGGTATAAGTTATAGTTAACGATAAACAAGTAAATTTATACCTGTAAGAAAAGTGTAAAAATAAAACTTTAGGAGACAAAGGTCACCGCCGTGCTTTTCTATACTTATATACTTCATATTGCGCCGTATACTATACGACAGTATGGACACGTCGACCTAGAATAATATACCTACAACACACACCTGCACGTATGGCTATGTTACATAATAAATATATAAGAAGAATTAAATCGGAACATGTGTCTAAAAAAAAAATTTAAAAAAAGTGACGATAACCGAAGTTGAAAAATTGAGTTATATTATAACAAGATGAAAATAATAATTATGGTTCGGCACGTTTTCGATTAGATTTTCCCATAAATATATATCAAGGTCATACCTACCGATATATTATAAAAGTAGAAAGATATGACCTTGAGTAAAACGTGAAACATTACCACCATCCTACGATGCACATTTTTCCATGTGACAAACGATGAGAGATATTATAAATGAAATCGATCGGTTTAATTATAACAAAAGAAAAACAGTAATTTAGATACTAAAATAAAAGTACCTTAATAAAATATATTATAGTGACATAATTGCAAATTACAAAATAATTTTAGGCCATAGATATAAACAATTTACAGATAACCGAGAGTACCATATAAGACTTGTAAAGAATATTTTTATTTTTTATTTGTAATACGTATTAGAAAAGATTAGTAAAATTGAATTTAGAATACGAATTCGAATTCGAATAAGTTCAAATGTATACATTACACTCGAATATTTCATAAAGTATTTGAATTTTTTTTCCGCTAAATTATATAAGTTTCGGAAGTAACGTATAATGGTTCCATATTTTACTAAATTAACTGATTACTGATTACTATTCATATTTTATCCATTAGTGATTATAGATAATAGTATAACAAATATTAAATTATATTATATCATGTTATTACATTATACTTTGTCTACAAAAGTATTTTAATTTAAAAATCAAAACCGGTTAATTTATTTTGCATAGTTTAAAATTGTTTATTTTATACTAATAAAACACCTAGTAAAACATACCACATATAAAATTTATACGAATAATAATGATTTTATAAAATCAAAAAATACTAAAAAAGACTTAGATTAAATCCTCTCTAAATATCAGTAGTTTATTAAACAAACTATCAACAGGAAACATAATAACTGCATCAATGTACTAAATAGGCGACAATAAAAATAAAATTATTATTGGTTTGAGAATAAAAGTATTTCTTTAGTGAATAAAAAAAGTACCATGAATACCGTATAAAACTCATATTATTGGTTTGGTTGATTGGGTTACCGCTGTATACGCCGTATACTGGGTTGATCACGCAAAAAAGGATCCTACTAGTTTTCCCGGGATTGTGATAAAAATAATTATTACACCTGTGATAACAAAAACAAAACAACAAACAATCGGACATCCTTTGCACAATGGGTGGACTTCTGTAGTAGGTGAGAAATTAAGAAGGTAGATGTATGCAACAATTAATCATTGCTAACGAAAAACGATTCTGAACGGAGTTCGGTTATACATATTTTGAAAGGCTGTAATATTTACGATTTAAAAATAATACATTTCGTAAATTCTTTCCCAGTTTTTCATAATTATTATGAATATTCCTGGGAAAATAAAAAAAAATTTAAAGTACCACCCCAGTCAGATTTATTTTCAGAAAAAGTACTACTCTTCAAAATCGGAGCAAAATATTCGAGACTAAAGTTATTCACAAAAAAAATATATATATATAAATATTATTGTAAACCAATACATTCCTTGCTCCGCTCAAAATCTAAAACAAATATTTAGAATACGTATTCAAATATTTTTTCTGAAAATTTCAAAAATAGTATTTGAATTTTAGCATGTAATAAAATACTTTTATTTCAGTACCTGCAATCGAATATTTCACAACACTGCATAAAAGTAAATATAAAGTCAGCAGCCGCATACTAGAACGGAAAATACGGTATTTGATTTACCCATGAAATATTTATTTATGCCACGAATTACGCTATGATATTGAACAATTATTTTTGATTCATTTTCATTATTGTTTTCATATTATCACCATAATATTGACATGCATAATATAATAGGAGGAATACTTCATGGTTTGCTCTCTTAATATAGCTACCGAGTTAAAATTTACTCATACAGAGTGGGCTATAAATAATTGTTCTATAATATTATGATGTCTGCGTTATAGATAGGAATAAACAGAAAAAAAAAAAGTTTTCGACGTATTCAATCTTCATTTATACATTATAAATGTGTTGATTTGCGTTTTTCGAACCTAGTATATAATAATATTAAAATACGTATATGTATATGCGTCCATACGTATAGCTTCGGCGAGTTCGTTAAGTAATTTTCTGATTTTTTTTTTTTTTATAATTCACTTTAAAACATCCAATTATAGTTTGAGAGTAATTCATTATTCTCCATTAACTTCATTTACTTATTGTATATCTGCATATTGTATTTTATGTTTGCAATTCAAATTATAAAAGGTACCTACTGTATAGTGCATAAGAAATTATGTACGCAAAAAAATAATAAATTATATGCCTCGGAAGTTGCACGGACAAATAGGTATGTTTATTTTTACAAATCGACAATAATTTTAACAGTGAAACGCAAATAAAACTACCTGTATTGAAATAAATATATATTATAATAATATGATTTTAAATAATACGTTTTGATAAATAAGTGAATGGAAAATTTAAATTGTTTTATTATTATTTATATATTTTATGTTAGGTATAACCTAGTTGAAAAGTAGAAAATTATGTTAATTATTTTAACTTTTTTTTATTAGCTCAACTGATATTGTTTTACATTGACTTAACAAATAAAGAGTTAATTGTAAATGTATATATCACGGTAACCTAATTTAAATTTATAAAAATTTTAAGTTTTAACACAGTGTATTGTTTATAATATTGCAGTGCATCCACTCAATAAATAATAATCCATTGTTTTTTTAACTATTTGTTTAATCCTGATTTTCGTATTTTTTTAATTTTTTTTTTTTGGCGAGAGGGGGGAAACTAATCAGTACTTCATATAAGTACTTACATATCCCCCCCGTGTTTAACATTGATCATCCTTATTCTTTAAAAAATCACGAATATTCTATTTTTATTGTGAATATAACAATTTTAAAAAAATAATTAATTAACTTTTAACGTATTTATTAAGTCAATAAAATAAGTAAATACGACTTATTAACTTGCCCAGCTTTGACTATATTAAGAATTAAAATTTGAATGTCGAGAAGTAACTATATTACCTTAATATATCGAATAAAACATACATTTTTTCATCAAACAATATGATATATTGTTACTATAATATTATCATCGAGTAAAAAAAAAATAAGTATTTGCTGTAATATTATTGTTATCTAAACAGAAATACTGGAAGAAAAAACAAATACTTAAAAGCTCGAAAACCAGTAAAACGGACTTGACCATAATAATAATACTGCAATAGCTTAACTTCGAGATCGAGTATCTATAATATATAATAAAAATACTACACCGTGTTTGGTTTAAATGAGGGTGTGTACAACAGTTATATTGGTTAAAATATACATATAGAATTGAAAATGTTAGAAATACAAAACGTTTTATTTTTTAATATTTAAAAACTAAAACAAATGTAATAAATTAAAATATCATACATAACGTTATATTATTATTATTATTATCTTATTGCATATTACTAATTTATATGGTAAATAAATTAGAATAAAGAAAAGGGGAGGGGGTAGACGAAGTATACGAACGGATACGAACGTTTCTAAAAAAAAAAAAAAATTATAAGTAATTGTCCTAAATAAATCAAAACGTGAAGCATTCGTGACCCGTGTACTGATACTATTATACGTATATAAGTAACCGTATTTTTCATTTACCCGCTGAATTCAGTCATCGTCGTCGTCGTTGTACAATAACACAAGAGAGCACGCCACTGCTGCAGCCGCGCAAATATAATAATATAATATTGCGCCATTAAACAAATAGAATATAATATTATATTTTATACTAAACTAAAATTGTTCATTATCAAAATAGATGACGAAAAATATGATGCTATTTTCGGGCCGCATTATATTATGCCGCGATTCAGACTGCGGTGCAATCATAATGTATGAATATAGGACTTTACTTTTAAGTCTTACCCAATTTAGTGCGTCATATACAACCAAAATCAAACCCGTTTGTATTAAAAATGGGTAGCTAGGTATACACATATTCTATGTCAGCAGGGTGTGTTTGTTTTTTGAAATTTGTCGCCATATCTTTATAACGATACGTTTCAACGGTCTTGACTTTATTCAAATACGGCGTAGTCTTATAGGTATATAAATGCTATTTACATTTTACAAAGCCGACCTAGTTGCAGAGTATAGTATAACTATATCGTCATTTTTCTAAGAGTTAAAATGAATATTATTTCATTTTAAGCATACGACTAAATTTTGCAGTCTGTTCCGTGTTCATCGGTCACGATGAAAATTTGGATTTGAATTAATATTTTAAAAAGTAACCGTTAACGAATAATGTTATTTTATAAGTACCTAGGGCTCGGATTTTATAGAAAATATTTGTTGTTTTTTTTTTGTTGCTAGCAGTTCAATAGGAAACACTTTGTTCGCCAAGAGTTAACAACTCGATCGAACTTCTAAATCAACGAACTCCTCCGTCTCACGGTCAAATTCTCCCACTTTCCTATTGGTTTACGAATAGTGTTCATTGAATACTACGGGCGAATGGTCAAAAATGGACGAGTTTCGGTCAACTTCCGGTTGCGTTCCCTCAGCGAACGTAGTATAGAAATATCGTTATTATATTTTTTTTGTAAATACATTTTGAATCGTTCTAATTACATGATTATATTGATATGAGCTTAAATTAGTTTTTTTTCCTCTAGGTCTGTTTTTGCTTATTTGTACATAGTTTTCAAAATAACCTCACAAATTTATTTAATTCCAGTAGATACTATATCGGCCTGCATATTATTATATTATTAACAAAAACGAATGGAATCGTCGTATAATATTTAAGATGACCGGTAAAATAATTACCACAGTATCAGAATGTTATTAGATTAGTGTTATAAGATTAACCGTGATAGGCACACCAGTGTAAGTGGTCCCAGTAAGAAAAGTTTTAATGAAAATAACTAAATATATATAGTTGGCGGTTGTAAATTCATTTTTTTAACATAGAATATAATATTTTCCCATTCATTTTTTCTTTTCTTTATTTTGTATTATTAAAGCTTGAATTAAACTCACGGTTTTCTTTTGGCTATTATAAAAGTTAATTAACGATTTATTTTGCTAAAAAAAATCCTATCCCAATATAATTATTAATTTAATTTAATAATCGGTTATTTTTATGTTTATACTGTTCGTATTGGATATTATGCAGGTTATTTTCCACGCGGTGCATAACGTGAAATTTAATTTGAATCGTGCTCTCACGAAAAAAAAAAGAAAGTAAACCGATATTGAATTTCTGAATTAATTAAGGTTATAATTTTTTGTTTTTTTTTTCTGGATGTCGATTTATTATCGTAACATTTAAGTTAAATGAGAAAAATAAAATAATCGTTCCCATTTTTATTATCGTATAATAAAATGATACAAGACTGTACCCTGTTAAACTCTGTTGTGTATCACCGGAAACTGATTTAAACCGAGGCGATCGCGATGATTCAAATAAATTCAGCTTAGTTAATACCCTAATTTTTACTTTCTGAAACCTGAACACATTAAAATCGTTATTTTTAACTCTAGCTAGGGCAGAGCATATATTTTGTTTAATGTAGTTATTTGATTTATTTAGTTATTTATGGTTATACAATATTATAATACATAAATTTGATTCGATTACACACGTATAGCATCAAAAATAGGTTTTTTTCTAACATTTATGGTATATGTAAAATGTAGTAAGTGAAATCATAAGTATAATTTGGAATAACCATTTATTTAAATGAACGCTACATACTTATTTGGATTATTCCTGATTTTTCTTAAAAATTATAGGTAAATTAATTTTTATATTGAAGCCAACACCCCAAAATTGGTTCTACTGAACGTAAATTGATCATATCGTATATATTTGTTAAATAGAGATAATAAATGCATGTGTACCAACCTTTGAATATAATTCATTCTGAAAAAAATTTTTTCCGGTAAACCATCGGAAATTATTAAAAATACAAAATCGATTCTACAATTATATCATATGAAATTGTTTAAGTTTTATTTTAACATTATTGTTGTTTACTATCCCTTCCTACATTTTATTGATGAAAAAAGGGAAAAGCAGACTTTTATAGATAATATTAATCATATTTTACTACTTTGGTGAAAAACATTAAACTTTATAAATAATAAATAGTAAATTCGATATTATTATATTAAAGCATTTTGCATATCGACATATTTAGACAGTTAATATTCTCTATTCGAATCTCTATTGAAAATAGAGTTAGCTATTTGACAAATTCATATTATGTGTAAATTATGGTATACACAAAGGTCAAGGGTAACATTTTAAACATATTATAAATCAATAAGATTATCAAACGATTCTACATAATGAAAATAAACTAAAATAAATTTTACTCGAAGACTAAAACGTTGAATCGTTGGATCGTGATAAAAAAAAAATCACCCAGTATGGCGGATTTTAACTTTAACCATGGCAAACGCGTGTACACGACCACACTAATTTTTATTTTTTATTTAGGGGTATTTTCTATTGTCTCGATAGAATACAATAATCCGATTATTGGTGAGAATACAAAACACTATATACCCACTATCGATACATACCAACGATCATTATTACATAACAGAACGTGCAGCGAATTTACTTACTCTATCCAAGTTTGGTCCAAACCGAAACGTAACCGAGTCAGTTTAAGGAGTCACTGTGTATATAATTGTTTAATGTATAGTATTTATAATATTTGATTATAGCTCGGATGTCACAGAAAAACTCGGTTTTTTCTGACTGTCGATAAAACTTACGAAAATCTTTACAAAGCGTTTTTACTTCGAGGCTTCGACCCGTTAAAATCGATTTTTAAATATCAACCAGTTATATCGGAAAATTGACATGCATCGAAACCACTGATTTTTAATTTGGAGAACAAACTCAAATGATTGAATCCGCAATATTTATTATATTCCATTGTCGAACGAAAAAAACCGTTTTAGAAACGAAATTTGTAGTGTAATTTAATATAAATTATTATCGTCTCGGAATTTTTCCTTTAATAAATTGCTTACTTCTAATTGATTTACACAAATCGATTACATACGAATGTTTGATAAGTCCGTACAATGATAATAATACATTTTACCAGACGATACGATCTAATGAGACTATAGGCAGGTCGGTAGGTGTTTTGTTTTATTTATCGTCGTTTCGAAACGGAAAGAATATTTTGTTTACATTCTGCGCAAGTGATGTATTTTATTTGTTTCGAGATCGAAATAAGCAATAACCATTACCGAAACGTCTCGTTTAACACCAATAATCGATTACCTCGATTACTTTCTCTCGCGGCCGTTCCAATTACTAGGCCGAACTCATTAATTTTTAAAAGGAACGAATGCGTTCATTCGAGTTAAATATATAACACGACACCTACCTATAGATATATACGAGCTATTTGTTGAATTTTTTTTTTTTCCAAAGTAAATAACACACGAACAAATATATCAATTAACATTGGTGAAAAGTGGAGTCTAACATAGTACGCGCATTATCGGTTCATACATAGATATACTTTAATTCCCCGCGGTCCGCATAAATACTACAACTTTTCAACAATCTACTCAGCTAATATTACTCTATCAAGTACGGTAGGAGGTTTTTCTTTTTTTTTATTAATGTATTTACATGTTATTTTATGACTTTTTTTTTCTATGAAGTTATAGATGATACTTAAAATATCAATGGAACACACTATGTACTCGTCGTTATGTGATAACTATGTTCAAATTATCAAACTACAATATAATTTTTAAAAAAATCGGGAAATTAGAAGATACGCAAAGTTATTTAATTTATATCTGTACGATAAATTATTGCTGACAAAATACGATTCTGAGTGAAGTTAATTTTTCAAAATGCCGTACCTACATTTTATGATTTTTGTAAGATGAACTACATTTGGCTCAACTTGTTTGTTTTTATCATTATAAATAACTAATAATGCAACTCGTGTTAAATTAAACAAAATAAATAATCAACCAAATAAAAACTAATAACCCCAAAACGTCAAATGCCTAATAATAACTCTAAAATCATCAGAATGTTTTGATAAGGATAGTATAAGTGTTCGATTAAAATTATAAGCCTTTACAGCGATAATATTTAACTGAAATCTTTAACAAAAAAATATCATCGAAAACAATGAAACCATTAATGCCGTAAACTTTTCCTTTTTTCGAGTATTTCCCAATCAATAATAAAACTACAAAAAAAATGTAAAAATAGCCTTAATCATTGTTGGTTGCTTTACAATTGGTCTAGTATATTCACCAGAATGATTTCTACAAAAAAAAGTTTTTTGATTGGAGCGAAATTTTGGTAGAAAAGTTGTATACAGATACACAAAAAGAGAAACAAATTAGCATACGTCATAGTAAAACAGATACATTCCTTACTACGATGGTTAATTCTTAAAAAAAAAAAAACTATATAATTAAAATCCTTTTGAAATAAAGGATTTAATTTTAAAAAACTATTATTCGACATTTTTTTTTTTTTTTTTTTTTTTACAAAACCTTTAAATCTACGTTCTATTTTTTTGTCCAAAACGTTCAAAATATCATATCCCTAGGATTAAAAAAAACAAAAACAATATTCTCTTTTCATTTTACTTATCAAATGATGTCTGATTTATTGCCCAAAATAAAACGAGTCTACTAGATCTATGCTAATGAACGTCATAAAAAAATATATATATATATATGTTTCCATTAGAAATGCGGTGTGTAAGACACACTAGTTTGCTAGGTAATTGGTTTATATTCAATATACCTAATATTTTAAATATAACGTTATGTATAAAAATCAAATTTAATATTTTATTAAAATCGTATTTTAGAATTGAGTATTTATATGTATATATAAATTATAGTTTAAAAAACCATGCTCATGTTAAAAATCAAAAATATATAATAAATACCTATCTTTGTTTATAAATCATTAAAATCGGAAGCAAAACATTATAATATGGCATTTACAGCATCACGATAGTTTGACAAAATACATCAGAGAAGGGGACGTATAAGGTCATATTGGAATGTTAAAATACATAAAATGAATTCTGATAGACATTAATTAGAATATTAAAAATGTGTAGATAAATTAAATTACGAAGGAAATACATGGAAATCTGTAGCAAACGGAGTGACTGTGGTGAGTAAAAAAGAGAAAAATAAATAAAGTTCAGAATTTCTTCATTAGCCACAAACAAAATAAAATCACGAAACCGATTGGATATCAAAGATGATAATACCTATGCGTATCTGTTCAATATACGGTGCCGGATTTCGAAGCAATATTATTAGTAATCAAAAGTTTTGATTAGATTCAAAACATTCAAACCAACAGAAGATGTCACACTGAAACTTAAACAAACTAAGAAAATCACTCGTATGTATCCTAAACGTGCTTAATCATAATTATGAACAATATATTAAATAATTATTAGGTTTTAATATTACCATTAAATAATAATACGTTTTTTTAGCGTAGGGGCGATATACTTTATGCTTAAAAGGATTCACAATCCAGAAAAGGTTAAGGAACATATACTAACCTAACCGTAAAAATATCAACTATAGAAAATCAAATTATACGCTCATTTCATTTGAAATATCTATTTTTCTTTAGACCATTTTTCAAACATGCAAACATACATATAACTCGAAAAATTACAGTATAATAAAATATAACGTTGAACAATAATTAATATACTTACGTCTAAATGATTATTATATATCAAAAGTATAAACATACGCTAATGATACGCCATTACTATAATCAGATGAGACAATTATAATATGCGAATGTACAATAATTAAAGACGATGAGTACGAAATAAAGAATAATTATAATAACAAAGATGATAATGATTTTATTCGGATGTGAAATTAAAGGGTGTGGAAATTTGTCGGGAAACTATTAAGCACGCCTATTAAAGTAAAGTCTGAGAAGAGTGTCTAATAATAAGAGAAACTGCAGTGGACTTGAATTCGACAAGAAACAGAGGAGTATTGCAAGAAAGTTATTGTGGCTTAAATTGAATCAGTCAAAACTAAGTAAAACGTTAAAGGCATAATTGTAATTAGTGTTATTTATGCAATTACAACAATAAAATCAACTATATTATAGTTAAATTAATCCAAAACCTATCCTAACTACACATTAACCTTACCGATTAAAATCGGTGTATTTTAAATTTTAAAGAATGATAATAAAAGGTAATTTAACAATTTAATGAATTATAGGACTTAGGTACAGAGTAAGTTTTTTGTAACTTTTGAAAGTTGAGAAATTAAGTAATCAGAAACGATGGATTGTGTACTATAAATAATGATGTATAACAAAAAAACATCCGATTATCTCAAATATAGTGCAGTTATTACGACGATTTTACATAATATCCGATGAACAGTCCGTAGTTAAACACACGTTGTAAGTTGTCATGTTCAACAGCTATAATTGTAAAAAAAAAATTCTATATTAATGTATTGTATGAAATGTTTTCGAATTTTATAGTTTATTTTCTATAGATTCTTAAATACCTGTGTAATGAATTGTAAAATATGTTAAAAACGTACATCAGGTGTTCCCAAGAATTTGCACGATTGAAAAAATTAAAAACGCCAATAAATATTTGCGTGTTACAAACAGAATCTATTTTAATAATAATAATAATACGGTTACTTTATTATATTTTTTTAAATTATCAAACTGAACAAAATTGTTTTAAACCTTCGATATACCTATAGTTAAGTAATGTAAAAAGATACCACAGATTCCTGACAAAATATCAATAGTATTCCTTTTATGAAAATGAATTTGATTTTTAATAAAAATGCCTTTTGAAATAGAATACATTTTTAGTTTTTTATTTTTAAATACCAAGCTTTTATTTACGTATATATACAATATATTATATTATTTAAAAAACTAAATATTTCCAACATAAATTCCAAACTTAAGCGAACATTTATTTAGTTACAGCGAAAAACTGGAAAATAAAGATGAACAATATATTGACAATTTGTATCCAATTTGAAATTTATTGAATATATTATGGTGTTAAAAATAAAAGATTTTCAATAAACTTAAAAAAAAAAGTAAAAATACACTGCACCTATACAATATTGTTTGACTAGAAAAGATTTTTATTTTCACTTGAAACACAAAAGTTAAACTAAAATATAATAATATTCACCTATGAAGAATACATTATTATACCGTTTTTGATTTACGAAGCGTGCGACTTTACTACATTGCATGTACAAGAGCAATTGATAAAAACAAGTTGGCGTTACGTATTCCTAACACACCTTTTTTCCGTGTTTGAATATTCGAGTTTATTAATAAGGGAAAAAAATAATATACAAATTCTATAATATACAATTGTAACCGTAAGAAAACTAATTTAAAGTAGTGCTATTAATTGTTGCAATTATGTATAAAGTTATACAGTTCCAAAGTAATATAATATTATATTTAGCTCAACATTCAAAACTTAAAATATACTCGACTTTAAATTTATTTTTTAATATAATATTTAATAAATTGAATTTATGCAGAAAAATTAATAGGAAAAGAATACAAAAACGTGGTGCATTGACATCATCATTTTGCTAATCATTTTAATAAACTCGTCAGACAGATAATTTTTTTTAGAAAGGCTAAATAAAAATATTAATATTTTAGAAAAATGAATCTAAAAAGAAATCTACTAATAGGTGTGTCACTGTTGTAGGTGGGGAATTAAAAAATTGGGATATATAGAATTATTTAATCCATATCTGAACATAAATTATTGCTAATAAAATAAGATTCTCAGCGAAGTCCTATTAAATATATTTTGAAAAGTTGTGATTTTTTTACGATTTTCGTCAAATTGTGAACTCCAAACGCTTATTAAAAAAAAGAGTTGATGCTGGGGTCTTGTACGGTCACTGTTATACATGGGTAGTAGAGAAAGTGGGATACATAAAGTTATTTAATGTATACATGTAATCAACGATAAACTATTAATAACGAAAAACGATTCGAAACGAAATTCGGTTATACGTATTTTGAAAAGCAGTAACATTTACGATTGTCGTCAAAATTTATATTAGAAAAAAAAAAAAAAAAAAAATACTATAATAAACTAAATTTAATTTTTAACCACGGATTACACAGCTTGATTAGGTTAGGTTTATAATGAACCTCCATCTAATTTTCAAGCATTTCTATTAAGTCTAACAATTTATCTATAGAGTTATTTACAAATACAAATTTTATAAAAAAAACATGCTCAACAGTTGCTCAAATATTCTGAAATTTTTACCACGTCTAGAGAAAGCAAATATTAGTTTCTCTATACCAATTTTTTTAAATTAAATTACATTTAAAAAAAAACAGAATTTAAAATAATAAAAGCATTATTTTCGTGAATTTGCCCGTATTTTTCTATTTTGCTCAGTTATTAAAAAAAAAAAAAAATAACTCATATCATAGTAAAACCTATCACCTTAACGTTCTACTTTTATAACCATTAAATACCCCTCATGATGAACCTCTTACAAACGTCAAGAATTTCTAGTCAACCAAAATAATTTTATCCACATAAAACCAAATAAAAACTTTAAAATAAAGTTTAAAATTTGATTACCGAATGCACGGATTTTTATTTTTCCACCGAGTTCTTATAATGCCAATTTTTGTTTGTGGATGCGTAAGTCATTAAAATAATAATTATGTTTGATACATTTCATAAAATTGAAATTGCATTGATTGTAATATTATACCGAGTATTGAAATATTGAAATATTAAAATGAATTATTGTACACGTGTTTCAAAAATATTTTATGTACCTATATTATAATTTGCACTTAAATTAATTTTCATAACGGCATAGGTACTTTAATATTATATTAATATTGATTTTAACGTAAGTTAACACCCTTTCAACTACACCGAAGAATTCTATATTCTCAAAGACATGGCTTAATATTATAAAGACAACTGGATTACTTAATATAAGTCTACTGGATTTTCGTAATAGTAAAGGTACTATGTGCACATACTACTTGTTTTCAACATTATTAAAATCATAAGAAAAGGAAAATATTGTGTTCCAAGTACATTAAAATCTATTCAATACCGAAAAATCCGAAATACGTGAGAATATATGTCTATAAAACTCTATATGGACAACGATATACGCGTATATACTACAGTTTTTAATCGAATATAATAAATAAGCTTTCGATGTTCGAGAAACGACTGAGTGAGAGATTTGTAGACCTATAGAGTCGATTTGTACATTAGTCTATACCCACCATTGAACCCAAATTTATGGAACTTCCAAATAGCTCGGTGAAACATGATTACACACGGTCCTTATCGGCGATACCCTTTTAGGCGTACGGTTGCGCGCGCTTCATCATTTCTATTACCATGCAACGTTGCCAAATAATATGTAAACTATAGTACTATAATTATACTGTAAACATGGTATCTACCTAAATAATATATTAACAGCAACTTTTATATTAGATTTACAAGAATTACCTAAAAGACCAACACTATTTTAGAGTCAGTTATTACTTATTATTTACGGATAGTAAGCTTTTATCAAAATTATTGATTAATATCAGTCCCATATTATAGACACGAGAATATTAATACTAATACTCGAGCATGATATATGTACATTATACATACATACAGATAATCGTGTTCATGTTTCAGTTGTGTTTTATTAGTTTTCATATATTATTTTAAAATGGAAAACGAAATTTGTTTTATCAGTTCGGAGAACGGAAAAGATTTTTTGATACACAAGAGGCATAAATTTCGATATATTAGACAGCGAGCTGACGGATATGATAGTGATGTGATATGATAGTGATGCTGTAAAAAAACGTGCACATTTACACTATTAACAAATAATAAAACCATTTTTGACAATACTGGTGACCATAACCATCCTATGGATATGGTTCAAAAAATCAATATGCAAATTTTACAGGAAAATTGCAAACGAAAAGCTACTAATTCCATATATCTACCCGGCCGATAAAATTAAAAATGTTTGAACTGTTTGCTATTTTACTTTATTTAAATATATGTAACAATTTTGACAACGTGGCATCCAATATCAAGCAAAATCGTATCCTTTTGAAGGACGAAAATCACGTTCTTTGTTCTCCGGTACCATGCGCAATCGTACCACACCCAAACAACCAAGGCATTTCAAAAACGATAGAGAATTTTTACAGAACAATAACTAAACTAAAAAGCCGGTTATAGTTCCCACCATGACCGGTCACTGTTTTAGGTCTTCTTCTTCGTCATGTCAGTAATGTTGTAGGTATGGAGTAGGGGAGATTTAGTAAAATATGACGAAAACATTTGTGAATACACTGAACGCAACGATAAATTGTTTAAATCAAAAGTACTATTTTGAGCAGAGCTCGATAAACAGATAAAGCCATAGGAGCCAAAGTAACCCAGAAATAAACAAAAACAAATCCGGTTTACCGTCATCTATTGTAAGTTTTTTTTATATATATATTTTTAGAAAAAACAATACGAGATATCACTATGATGTGAATAACTTTAAGCATTTTTACCACTTAACCGACAAAATGTTTTCCGAAAAAAAAAATTATATTACTGATAATTTTTTTTTTTTTTGTGAGTATTAGTTTTACTTTCCATGAACCCCCACCCATGGAAACCAAATGGAGGCAACCAAATTACGGTGAATACTATAGTCTAAGTGAATATTTAAAAAAAGGAAACGCCGAATTTTATTAATAAAAATTAATTTAACGACTTAATACAAAATGCTTAATAGTACTAGAATCCAAATCTAAACTGATTTATCTAAAACTGATACTGGTATAGGACTTGAAGTTGTACATCAAGACAAAACAAATCAATTCCAATTAAACGTTAACAGTAAAATTTTCACAACCGAATACTTAGCACTTCTTAAAGGAACCGAATTAGCCCTTAAGACTCACTAGACAAAAATTGATATATGTTCTGACACATTAAGTGCCTTATCTAATTTAGAGTCAAAAGTACTAACAGAGCCATTGGCTTTAAGTATCAGCAACCTTATTTCCAAAACCAACAAAGACAAAAGATTCAGACATAGCTACCTAAAATGCAATAAACAGCCTTAACAAAGAAATACTTTCTTTTTTAACACTCGTGGACATGAAAACTAATATAAACAAATACTGCAGGTATACATGAAACACCGAATGGTACAACACCACGGAAAATGAACTACGTAAAATCAAACACTTTGTTGTACTCTGGTCCAAATATAGTCAATTAAACCATAAGGAAGAAGTAGTTCTAAATCGACTAAGAATTGGTCACACCAGATTTTTACATGGACACCTAATAGAGAAGACTGAACCCCCCTTCCCTAATATCCAACATGTAACACAATCAACTCTACCAAACATATAATCATCTACTGTACTAAGTTTATCGGACCCAGAAAGGAATTCAACATACCGGACAAATTAATGCTATAAACAATAAAAAAAAAAAAAAAATTAAATGAAAGGTACTAGGAATTTTTGTGACCATCAATAAATCCAAATATCTACGTAGAACTAAACGTACCTAAATATTAAAACTACTTACTTACGTTACTTAACCTTACCCGACCCAACCTCAGAGCACATAATTTATAGATAAAACAATTCCGATATAATAATATTATAGGGAACCATTATATTATATAATTATATAAAACCATTCCTTCAAAAAAAAATTTAATAAAACGGATTTAACAATTTAATTTCAAACTAAAAAAAAAAAAATACACAATAACAATTATTTCTAAATGCTTCATTCATTTAATCTGTTATACTCTAATTTAAAAAAATAAAATATCCGAATAATTGTTTTATATTTTTTCAATTTAAATTCTAATTAGAAAATACTTTTTTTATATATATTATGTATATACATGCTAATTTTAGTATACAACTGTATTTTTTTCTCATTTTTCTATTCGCCGTACATAAAACAAATCGTAGGTTTCCACTTAAAGATATTTAAAGATATAAATAAAACAATTGATAATATTTCGATGTTTGAAAGAGCCGATTCTGAACCTATATAATATTATAATATATACTATTATATACTTTTTCATTTTACACTAGTTTTTCTAATCATTTTTTTTTTCCTAAGTTCATGTGCTACGTGTTATCACTGGGTAATCTCTCATACTCTGGTTATTCACCGTGATTTCTTACGCTTAGATCTTAATTACTAAATGTACTTTCCTTTGTATAGATTGTAATTTGTCCTTTTCTTTAAACAAAAAAAAAAAAAAGTTATTCCTTTATGTTAAATGTGATAATTTACAAAATAAAACTAAAAAAATACGTTATCTATAAAAAAAAAAAAAAAACTCTTTTAGAGTGATACATTTTTAATGCAAATTAAAATCTACGAAAATTTACGTCAAAGAAACATTTTCTTTATTTATGTTTTTCACAATAAACTGATAAACGTTGTAGTAATTTGATAGATTAACGTGAAAAGAAGATGACGGAATAAACAACAAAAAAACCTACCTTCAAGCACTGATGTTTCGAAACTTTAATTCCCGTAATCACGGCAAGCTTAATTTTTTTTAAATATATATATTTTTTACGGTTCCGCGTCGGCTAAATATATTATAATATGTAAAAATATCGTATTATCTTCAACGTTTTTGAAATTTTTTTTTAAGGTCAGTATTTATTTTTTTATTTATAAAAATGTACAATATGTACAAAATATTACATTCAAGTTTATAATGGTGTATCTACGTTTATAGTGAATAATAAAACTAAAACGTAATTAACGATAGCGATTTCATTGCCAACATATCAACCGCTTAATCAATCTTTTTCTCCGGTCTCTAGGTGTCTAAAGACAACCCGAATCACACCCAATCATCTGTCCTTCTCTATCCATTGCTTATATTTCTGGTAGAAAATATAATTTGCAAAAATTAAAAACAATGAAATAGGTAACACCGCGGTGCGAAGTAAATATTTGCCATATACCTACAATTTTCCTACGAGTAATTACGCAATTATTATTTGAAAACTCATATAAAATCAAACAATGACCCGTTTAATGCACTAACAAGAGAAAATTTCCTTCCAGAAAAGATAATACACTATATATATAACGGATCGAGATTTCTGGTAAAAAAAAAAAAGGTGATTACAGACATAACAAATTCAAAAAAATATACATCATAGTAAAAAATTAATAAAAACATATTTAATGCTAAAAAATACATTAATTGATACTAACAACTTTTATTTAAATAGGAAATAAAATGTACATCAATATACAATAAACATTGAGTTAGTTATTAAATTGCGAAATTGATTTTAACTTTTACTAACAACTTTTCACAGAATCCTTTAAAATTATATTATTTGTTAGTAGGTACCAGACGCGTTTTGTATTTATATTTTAAATGCTCCGACGTAACACTAATCCCTTTGCATTTTTCTGTGGCTCATAAGACGCCGAAATTAATTTTAGTAAATTCAATTTTCGGAACATTATCGATTTAACTAAAACAAAATATTATATTATATCGTCGGCTAATAATAAATTATTATTAATTATACTAAAGAGTAAATTATAAACAAATTTTAATGCGATTAAATAAGCGGGTATTCCTTTGTATAATATTAAAATATTCATGTAAATTTATATAAATTCACAATATTAATTAATATATATAATGCGTAGTTATGTTTCCAATTCATATAAAAAAATGTCAATATATATTCGTATATTAGATTGAATTTTTTTTTTCGTCAGATAGACCGTTCATCTCCTCTCTGATCGTCGTCCACGATTAAAAACAAAATATCTCAAAATCATCTTTAAAAATTGTTATTTTCGATGGTTGTGAAAAATATAATTTTAGAATTAATTATTATTTTTTTTTTATCTATTCCGAGTGTAGCGAATAGTAGTTTTACGAAATTTATTTTTGTCTCCCTGGTAACACTTTCGCGGTCGGAAAAAAATAAAAACACTCTGAATCGTTCACATCATGCCCGCGTTATAGGACGTGGTAGTACTTTTACTACCACGTCCTTTATATTAGACACACATTTTCTCTGAAATAACCGACAGTTTTTTATTTTTTTAAATTTAAAAAAAAAAACTGACAACATATATTACCATAAAACCTTTTACCGTATTACCTACTATTTATTACTGTTCAGTCGGACTTTTTTTCACGGTTCTACAATTATTATTCAAACGTGTATGTATATATATATATTTATATACTCTACCGCAGTTAATCTATTTTGTATAAAACTAAATGAAAAATAATTCTCCGACTGCGGTGTTTTATCTAATTAAATGCAATTTACTCAAATTAAATTACGTTATCGGGCTTGTTATATATTATATATATTATCAAACGGATTAACAATGATCAAACGGATGCGAAGTATCTGTGCCGTACACTTTTATCTTAAAAACTTTCATTATAGTAATTATTAATTCGCGAAATTCCGCTTTCATTATATACCGATTATATTTTATCAACTTTGTGCCCAACTTGTTTTTTTTTTTTTCCTATCCGATTAAAATCAATAAACGCAAAAACAAGTACATCGCAATATAATAATTTATCATTTCATTATTTGTATTACATAATTTCGCTTTAAATACAACGATATCACGTTTCATTTACTACGTGACGTACGCATCGGGTTATTTAAAAAAAATAAAAAAAAATGTAAATCTGGCTTTTCTATTTTGGAAATATACACGATAGTACGTAGATAGGGTTTAATGATAATACCGATATTATTCTAGACACACGCGCCATCATAAAAATATAAAACAACGTGTCCCGTGGAAGTGACCATCAGGTCTCATATGAAAAAACATACCTAAATTTATGGAGAAAACCTTTTTGAAACGGAAGAGGAAGAAGATCTGTCCTTTTTCTTTATGAACAATTTAATTTTCATATATAGATAGTACAGTTTTATATGTACGTATTAAATTCAAATTTTGACGAATATCCTAAAAATCACAACATTTCAAAAGATGTTTAACCGAATTTCACACAGAATTGTATTCCGTTATCGATGGCGTATCATTACATTTATACACGAGACAAATAATTGTACGTGTATTCTACCTCCCCAACTTCCTAACTACAACAGTTGCACGCCCATCAGCAGTATAAGTTTATTTTTTTTCATTTAAACATCAAAATGCACATCATATTCACAACCACAGCGACGGTTAGCCCGTCATCTGAATATTAAGAAAAGCGTCAATTTGAATAAGGAGGATACAAGGATTTATGACATCACATCGTGCGTATTTTTTTTTTTATTTTTTATTTTTTTTTTTTTGCGCTTTTGGGCCTCCGCTGGATGTTTTCTATTATATAGCATTGTTGTCGGGCCACAGCCGTATCCGTGAAATCGTATTTTGATTCGGACGTCTACTAATGCGGTTCAAATGACCCCGCTGATCTCCGCGGTCGTTTGTATGGATTTTTACCCTCCTTTACCCCGCCGTTTTCCATCACGGCAAAAGTGGCGGTACACCAACTTATACGCAGTTTTCTTTCCACGATATTGACGAGACACCTATATAGACGATACGACGACGTATATATATATATGTGTGTATAGATAGACAGATATGCGTACAAATCAATTTATTTATTTAGAATTATTTTTAACAAGATCAAGATTTAAGACAAGTGTGTATTTCAGTATTTTCTTATTGTCTTCGATAGGACCCATCGAAGAAAAAATATCTACCGATTGGTGGTATGTGAATAGGTATACGATATACGATAATCACAGTTAGATACCTAGCTGTTCAAAACCTATCTTTACCAGCTATTATAATTAAATTAATTTGAACCTACCTACATCAACAGTTGACGGATCTACAGACAAAAATAAACTGCAGATACTCGAAAATTAAATTACTGTGGAAAATCTTTGGACAACATAGCCGGGTGGGAGAAACGAAGGAAAAATAAAAAAATGCACATAACTTTCATAGAAGATAATATTTATAGATATTGTTAAAAAAGATTCTGAAATCGAAGAATCCAAAACCCGTTGCTCGTAGCAGGTCTACCTTTCGAAGATAAAGTGGGAAAACATAGTCAAAAAAGATTGAACGTTTCATGAAACAGACAAAATTAGAAACTTTAGGTGGCGGATAGAAATAGCTAGAGAATTGGTTATGGGACAGAATGATCATAAAGGCCAATGAACACACCCAAATAAAAATAATAATACCTGCATTTAAATAAATCGTATTTTTAACTTACAAAATTTGTAAAAATTATTGTAATAATTGAAAGAAAGAAAGTGTATTCAAACAAAGACGTATGATTATGCAATTACATGTGAACTTCTTAAATTCCAATATTTTAAGAAACTTAATAAAACCAAAAAAAAAGTACTCTGATATTAATAATTAATGAAAAATTAATACGCTGTTTAATTCGAAAGTAATGATATGAATTCACGTATTTAAACGATTTTGAGAAGTCTTTAAAGTCGATTTATAATATATCATCCAGTACTGTAATTCGTCATCTGAGTCGTTCATATAAGGTTCGGAAAAATTCAGAAAAATATAATTTCATATTGTGATTATGTCGTGTGATCTCTTTCCATATCAGTATTATAGAAACGAGGTAAACATATTATATTATTTTATTATAATACATGGTAAAAATCACTAGGTATATTGAAGTATTATCATTTTACCACAAACAGTCGAATCGCTTTTGTTTACCCAAAACTACAACATATCTGCTCGCGCAACGGTAATATAAATTATAATATAATTGCGATGATTTTTTATCACAATATAAGCAACTTACTATATAGTTATATAATAATAATATTATACGATAGGAAAGCTATTAGCTCTTATTGTTAATAATTATTTATAACACAGGTCTGAGGTATGGAAAAAAAATCAAGGACCGATGAAAATTAACTGGTACCGACTTTTCGAGGGCACGAGCGGAATGGAAAACGGACCAATTAAGAACTGGCGTGAAAACGGCGGTGATGAGAAACGTGTATTTTTGACAGCATTATAAATGGAAATTGTCCTCTACACGCGTACCTTTAAATTGAAACGAGGTGAATGCTTGAATTTCCAATTAATTTACACATTATAATAATATAATATTACGTATAGGTATATTATAATGTTATATTTCACCTGCAGACAACTTGTGCAAACATTTTCCACGATTTTCTTTAATTAATTTATTGATTTTTTTTATGTGTTACAAATTTGTTTTCGAGTTCGTTAGTTCAAAAAAAGATAGAAAGTTAAATATACGCCAAAATTTTGTACTGGAATCTATAATAGGTTATAGACTAAATTAAAATAATGTTCGCTATTACGATTATAGAAAATCTATAGGGCTTTACTATAGGCTTTTTACTATAGGCTTTATTCCAAAAAAAAGTATTTTTTTATAACTGACGTAATAAGAAAAAAAAATCACAATTGGCTTTTTCGAGTCCGCAAACCCAATAAAAAATAAAAGCTATGCTGGAATGGAATCCGTGTCAGAAACGATCTTTAAGTTTGAGAAATAAGATGGGAAGATGTAATGAAATACCATACGGAATTACTAAATGGAAAAGAAAAAGTAATAACGGTTAGAGAAGAAATAACCCAGATAACATATGCGTAATGATAATATTATATTAATATCAATTTTTTATCAAAACAATGATATTATTAAATAAATATTGATAGTATATCAAATAAATATTTTATAAAATAATAATATGAGTATATTATTATTATATTATTATAAATGAATTGTTGAAATGATATTTTGAGCAAATTAATATGAAATCATTGATGAAATAATAAAATTCTAAATATATATGATAATAATATTTTCAAAATATAAATAATTCTATAATTCTATGATAGTCTACCATATACATGATAATAATATATATATAATATTACAGATACATATTTTCTACGTTTGAACCTAGCAGTTTATTATCGGGTTTGTCCCAATGAACCCAATGAATAACCGTAGATGTACAATCTTTATAATAATAGCAATATTTGCGTTATCCGAGTATAGACCCAACCGTTACTAACGACCGGTTGATTATACATCTCAGAAGTCGCCAAATTGGAAAAATTTGTCAATGTAAACAAATATTATTACGATTAAAAGTACGCCAAGACCACCCACGACGGGTCGACCGAGATTTACTTATCATCTCCATACATAAAATAACATAAACCAAAAACATACAATTTTTATAGTAGGCAATTAAATTAAATTTGTATTATTGTTATATTTAATACATGCACTAAATAATACACACAGTATCAAATCATTTTTTTTTTTTTTTTTTGGGGGGGAGGGCACTTATCATTTTATATAAGATACCATATTTTTTTAAACGATAAAATACACCGAAATAACCAATAAACAAAAAAGCCCCCACCACCCCTCCACCTACCCACCTGGCACTTTCCGCAATTTCGAGATATCACTGTATAAATAGGTACCTATGTTACAATATTTTGAAATTTCTTATACAATCATAAAATTAACTACTTAATAATTAGGTAGGTAGTCTAACGGAAAGAGCATTAGATTAGATTAGGCAGGGTCTCGGGTTCAATACTCAACTGTGATAAGTTATGAAAATCCGTTTTTTTGCATTTTTTTCCTTTTTTAAAAAAAATGTTTGAAAAATATAATTTTTAAAATATTTAATAAACGAAAATCCTGTGAATATCCGTTATTTTAAAAATATTTTCTAAATATTATTTAAATGAAAAATAAAACATTTTATAAATCTTAATAAAAAATATTTTTTTGCTATCTGGGAAGGCTGGAAGAATGGGTGTGAGTTATGATTATCTTTATAGAGACATAGGAACCAGTGAAAAATATTTCGAATGGGGGGGATACACAAACTAAAGGCAATAGATTAGAAAAGTATATTGATTTATTTTGATTATTCAAGAAAATGTAAAAATAATCGAAGCATTTAAAATAAAACCGTCTAATGTTGTGTACTATAAGGATTAAAAGGATATAATATTATATCGAATTAATTATAATGGTATTTGTACTACTAACGTCCATTCCTAAACACAGTGTTGAGATTATGTAAACTAAATAAGGGACGGAACCTGGTTATTACTACTATACGGGTCCACGAGATTTCTGAAACTAATTCGTAGACACCCCGCAGAACTAACAATTCCGAAGGCTACCCCAAAAATTTGGTTATATATTATAATATATAAACATCACTGTGATAATATAATATACATATAATTTCGTTAATTTAAACATTTTGTTTTTAGGTGGCAAACATTTAAATTGAAACTTTGGGTAAAAACGATTTTATGTCTCCGCACCGTAAGCAGTGAAGTGAGTTTAGGAGACAATATTGTATTCTCGGTGACCTGGGTTCGTCAGAATTTTCGTAGTATCCATCCGAACGGTGAGCGTTCGAGTAAAACTAATTACTAAAGGATTCAGTAGTCCGTTTTGTGGTTACTGCCATATGCGTACACCATTGCCACAACTAAGGAGAGATTGGGTAGGCTATGTCCACTCAGTTTTGTCTGTATCCCATCCAGGTTTTTAATATCTCAAAATAAATTAATATTATTTAATCGCAAAACGATCAATGAATATATGAATAATGATAATTGTAAAATTTACCATTGTCCGCTGTCATAATATGATAGTCAACCATATAGTATCATGCAATTATATTGGAAAATAGCTGATACTGGTTTTCGTTAAGGACCTATTTTGTTTGATATATATTCATTTTTAAATATTGATTATAAATATTGGAGGTAAGGGGGCAAAACTCTTCAAAGAAAACATTTAAAATAAATAATTTAGCTTACCCACAAATTAATTTTTAGTCGCTCCTACACGGAAACATAATAATCAAACTGCCTAAAGGTATGACGTGTTTTGATTAACGCGTTAAAATATAATAAAAATTCAAAGATTTGTGATTTCACAAATTTGTTGTGGGAAAATGTACTATAGTTATATACTACTGATATTATATCCAGCGATTTATTTAAAAAATTAAACGCTATTTACTATAATAGACGTTGCGTTGTTTCAATCGAAATAAAATACCAATTCTAAATGTAATTTTTGGCACTAAACGCGCTTTTTGTTCTACCAATAATATTATTGTCTGCCAATTTAATTATTTGATGTATTTATTTTTTCTCACCCCGTCGTAAAAAGTGTTAAGCATGATATCTCTAAAATAAGAGTACCTATTCTTTATCAAAATCAAAATGAAATATTTTTTTTGTATATTATATTAGTCCAAACTACATACACAAATATTAAGATAATTAATACAACATTGTGTTTATGATAGAGAATTTAAAAATAACATAATTTGAATCTCAACGATATTTTCTAAAATTAAAAGTAACTCCATATGAACTTTATAACGAGATTTAATAAGTCGTTTTTTGATTTTCTAAGGGGTTTTCAAACTAATTGGAAAAAACCGAAAACGAAATTACAGGGAACCGGCAAATAGGTATTAACGACGTACCGCGACGTCACCGATTTTATTGTTTTTGATTGTTACGCACTGTGTTTTCAACAGAAGTATTGTTTTAACCAAAAAATACAAAGAGGCATTTTTGTTGTATATTGGATCTTTATTGGATTAGGAAATAAGCCATTTTTTGATTTTTTTAAAACAGTTTTCACAATAATGGGGAAACCCCAGAAAAAACGTAAAACCTAACCTAACGAACAATTTTACAATTTTTGTTATGATTTCATTATTTAAAATATGTATACTTTATGAGTGATATGAAAGAATTTGTCATCGCCAGCCTACTCGTAGTAAATCCATTAATCAGGCCCTAGGCCTTACAAACCATGTACAAACGAACTTCGTTTAGAACAATTTTTCGTTAGAAATGGTTTATCTTTGCTTACAGATACGAATTAAATTATGCTATATATCCTGCTTTCCAACTTTGCACCTACAAAAATGACGTGCCCATCAGCAGTATTAGTTTTTTTTTTTTTTTTTTTTTCATGTACAGATACGTCATAATCTTATATTATACGAACGTAAAATGTAGATTTTAAACACGATTATTTTTTTCTTTTTCGTTTATTTGATTTTAAAGTGGAAATGTTTTTTTTTTTTTTTTTTTTAATGTTTAAAACTTCTAAAAAAAAATGTATTAACTTTCATGAATCTATTGAAATATGCATATTATCATACAAAATGATAATACTGCGGCAGACGTAAGACTATACGCATTAGTTCGGTTTTAAGGAATGTGTATAAATAAATAATTTCAAAAGTTTTCCACTTGATGAATTTTAAAATCCTTTAGGTTTACATAGGTATATTACATTTTTTCATGTGTTTATGATGGCCATTTTCCCCAAACACGTTACACTACATTGCACTACAGATACCTAAGTATTCCGACTACATGCAATACTGCAGTGTAACGGCTATACTTTGTAATATGTTTTATACTTCGCGGTAAATCGGATTATTGTTAGAAATAAAATAAACATACCCGTATAAATCATGTATAATTACTATTATATATATAATGTAAAATACATATGTTAATACAAGTACAAAAGAAACAATAATATTAGAACAGTGTATTGAGTACATGTTAATGTTTTTTTTTTTTAACTCTTGACTATTTTTAGTCTTTAAAAACAAACAAAAAACGAACAAAAAATTGATTATAAACAACAAAATACTGTTTATCGACTAATAATATAAATAATATTTTACATTTTAGTAATAAATAAGGTTAGGATCATATTGCAACTACATGAGATTAGAGTGGAATTAATAAACTCGACATCCCTTGAATCAATTTCACCATTATAGGTACACGACACAATAACAGAACGGCTATTATTTTCATGAAATTCACTTGATTCAGCAGTATTATATTATTGTAAAGAAACAAAAAGTATATAAATAAATGGCATTAGGCTTATAAAACCGTTTAAAACGATAGAGTCAATCGATTTTAAGAACGGTAAAAAAAAAAAAAAAAAAAAAAAAAAACATCGGTTAAATTTACCGAGCTCTGCGCATTTCTATATCTACCCTCGTATACATTTCATTGTTTCTTTTTTCTTTTCAGCTAACTATATAGGCACCGTATTATAAAGAACTTGTTAAAATGAATCAGTATCGCTTATTAACGTACATCCGTTGGATATTAGTATTTTTCAGTTCACCACACCGTATTATAATCATGTATACAGATTATATAGCATACTTTATGGAGCATAAGTATACAATATACAATAGTGTATACCTTATACATGGTACGGGCAAGATGTATATATAGGAATTATATAGGTATACAGGTACATGGGTGTTTACATCCATGAACATTTAATTTGTCCCGGATAAACAGCTGCGGGCCCGCGCCCGTTGATCCGCGTGACCGGGGGCGCGAGTTATATTCGCGTTCTCGGAGATTTATTAGATGTAAATCGTACCCGCCACGTACACAATATTTTTATCTCGAATTTAATAACAATTTATAATGTAACACGGTGTAACATAATAGAAATATTCGAGTGACGGTGACGATAATATTTCGTTTTCGGACAATATATCCGATTTCAGAATGATCGATGACAACCTACTGACCAATCCCATATATACATACCCCGACAATAACGATATTATTATGATACTTACGGGCGGTGGTAGATATGTACTATACACGGTAAAACGTTAAAAAAATGTATTACAAACCGAAACGCGAATAGCCACGTTTGCCGTCCGGATTGTAATTGTTAATTTTAATCATTGCGAAAACTATTACCGAATTAACCGGTATTTTTCGAGCTCGATCCTTTCAAAAACAAAATAAAATCAATGAAAAAGATTTGATTTAACGTGTCTCCCCGTTTCCACCCTTATCTCTATCACAGCGTTAATCGTTGTTGCCCGGTAATTTATCATTTAAAACAGGTAGGTATCTAAACGTCCTTGTCTGTAACAACCGAATCAAATACTCGTGTTAATAACTGGTTGTTTTCTTTCCATGCGTGTCGCCAAAGTAACCACCTGTAAATCAACGACAACGAAAAAATTCAACTCAATTTTCGTTTCAAAAATACCAAAAACCCCAGTACGTATCAACCGTTGTTTGGGCGTTGAATTTTTAGATAAACCGTAAACGCCAGTTTTCGTTTAGTTTTGAATAATTGTCAGAAGTTCAAAGTTTCGTCAAGATCGGAATAAAACGGTAAATTTGCATGGCGGACGGACAGACAGAATTTCAATTTTATGAATACGATGTCGTAGGGTATTTAGATTTACTTTTATCAACTATAATTCGAATGTAAACATTATAAACATTTCCGAATAGTATAGTACATTACACGCATTATCGTTATAATAAATCGTATTTATAATATTATATTGATAACATAATAATTATTAAAATTATTGAAGTATATTAAAACTCCGGAAAATACGAGAGTATTGTCGTTAATAAGATCCTCATTGTTATTCGCATTCGCAATACGAATTAAAAACTATTAAATATTTAAGTAATAAAAAAAGTTTAATTCAATCGGGTTTTATGTATTTTATAATTTATTTAAATATGCTCGATTACAAAACTTATTGCGAAGTAGAGATCGAATCTAGGACAAAATCAAAAATGTTCATTACTTATACATTTATAATCAAACAAAATTTGAGTTTAACAAAAATGGTTATAGAACTGATAATTTATACAAAAAGTTCTGGTCAAACTTTTAAGTTTTCGCCAAAACCCTCTATAAAGTATAAACTTGAACAACTTTTCGATTACACATAAAAAAAAAAACTAGTTCGACTAAAAGTTTTTGTAAATTATTTCATATAATTAGCTAAGTTGGATTATGTAAACAATGAGTTTTTAAATTATTTTTGGGTTTTTTTTCTTTTAAATTAAATTCAAAAAATAATATACCAAATTGAATTCGCTCATTTATTATTTAATTTTATCGTCCATCGAATAATATAACTCGTGTACAAATAAATTTCTATGTTAAAATTACGTTTCGTATTAAGTGAATGCTGTGGCGTACATTTTAATCAATTTAGATCTAAACACTAGACGACACTGCGGAAATTGAGTTTGGTAGATTTCAATTTTAAAAACGGATTACGATTATGTAGGTTCATCACTACGATACGCTTGAATTAAAAAATTGTATTATTTTACTGGAAATGGTAAACGAAATTGTAATATATATTTTTGAAAATTGTTAAATAAGGAACTTGAAAACAATTTTTCTTTTACTTGTGATTATAATAGAATTGATACAAAACATACATTATTTGAACATATCTTATTGTTAAGAACCTGTATCAAAATACGTTTTCATAATAGTTTGAATCCGTCGACCGCGATTCGTTAGTACAGTTTCGTCCGGCTATTCGGTCTAAAACCGTTATAGCTTTTCCCTTCAATGATTATCGGATAAGCGAAAGACGCTTATTACTCAGGCGGCCGTTAAAATGAAAACAAAATGTTTCGAATTTTACAGGAGAATTTTATTCAAAAAAACTATCACCGAACCCCAAAAGAAATATATTTAAATACTACAAGCAGAGTTTAAAACATTCGTTTAAAAATAAATGCATTCCTATTCACATTTATTGAGTTTAAAACCCAATGTATTTATATTCAAAATTTATTTTCTTTATTTCAAAAAGAATGCATACATTATAACATTTGTCAAAAATAGAACGTATTTATGAACACATTAAACGAATTATATGAATTTAATAATAAAACATAATCGTCTATTTTTTTTGACTATGGATTTCTGACTGTTTTGCTAATAGTGGTCGACAAATGATGGGGATTAACTAATAAATGGACAACTAATGTTCGAAGTTTGATAATAATTATTACTACTATTTTTTTATTCTTTTAATTATTATTATTAAAATGCAAATTATATATTTTTAATGTATTAAAAGTCGAAGATTTCATATGTAAAATGAAATATGTGTTATGAAAAATATCTATTTTTTGACACGTTTCATACTATATAATATCCTTAGAAACAAAAAAAAAAAATATATTTCGAAAACTTGTCGAAATGAAATTAATAGCTTTTCTCGTGCTCCGCTCGGAATTTTAAATACGGTTATTAAAATTATGCTAATGTATTTTGATAAATACGCGGATGATATTATGTATACGAAATAAATGTGCATAATAAATTAATTATATTCATTTATGATTTCAAGACAAATATTATGTATTATAATGTATCACCTGCTGCTATTATTAATACCTAGTCATAATATTTTCGCTTGTTCACTCGTATATAAACGTATAAATATGACTTCGATTATTTCGATCAATCGATCGTTCCTATTGTTCGTAAGAAAAATCGATCGTGAAAAATAATAATCGAACAGACCTAGGTGTTAGTATAATATTTTTAGCTTCTGAGCAGACTATGTTAGTTTTACTATGGCGTGGTTGCCGTCAATTGTTAATTGTTCTATTTTTCTACCTAAAATCTGGTTCCAATCAAAATATTCAAGACATCTTTTCCGTTGCATTATGGTTCTAGTTGGTGCATTTAAAATAGCTATTTTTCGATTATCCGGGCCGAAATATATTGTTGCTATGACTATTTAATAATCGTTAGATAAATTATATGATGCCCAAATAAAATGATACACCCAACCTAATAATGATTTTGTTAGGACAACCGCAATTTATTTAACGAATTGTTGTGTCAGGACAATCATAATATAATATATAGATAAAATTTGAAACATAATAATATTAACTAATGTTGTCCCTAATGTTTTCGGGATCCGGCTTTTATAAATTCCCCACAGTCGTGTTGGGCAGAAGAATATGTTTACAATCAATTCATATTATAATTATAATGTCTGCTTCATTACCGCCTTATTGAAAAGTCTTGTACACGCCACTGTATTTTCGTACACATCGGGAAACAATATCGTTGGTTTTACGCTATCGATATGAAATCGTTTTAATTTTATGAAAATATCCATATTATTTATTTATTATAATTTTAATTTATGAAAACGCGTGCGTTCGTGTTAAAATAATATATAAAATGTGTATTCATACGATTCAATTTACATTATAAAATCATAAATTATATCCTGGAAAATCATGAAATATTCAATCGGAAATTGATCGCGTAAAATACATTAAATTTTGAATTGGTCGTATATTTATTATAGTCGTATAAAAAAAAAATAATAATAATAAACCCTTCAAAACCAGCCGTTTTAAATATTATTATTATTATTTTTTTTTTTTTTTTTTATAATATACATTAATGGATAAGTACTTCTGAATCAAAAGTACAATATTTTTCAACGAGTACAGAATTTTTTTAATTTTTTTTAGTTTTACCAGTAATAGTTTATTTTCAAATAAAATTACAAGAATGTTCGTAATTACATAATTATTACTATCTTGACTAAAGTTACATGTTAGTTAGCAATAATATTATTTTATGAACGCTAAAAATAATTCCTGTAAATAATTTCACACTGTTTATGCTTATAACTAATATTACTTAGCATCAGTGTTGTGTTTTAACTGTTTTATCTACAGATAACTTTATTATAAAATCGAATTTATCGTATCCAGTTAAATAGAAAATAAGATGTTATCTGAACCAAAAACCGAGAATAGTAATTAAATCATCTAAATAAATGTATATTTTGAAATCGTAATTAATACATTTATGCGAGAAAACAGATGACATATTATTTAATTTATATCAATAAAATTTGTACATCAATATTAATATTACTAATAATTATTATTTAAATGTCTACGTGAACTTAAACTTAAGACTAAGTAAAACTTTGCTACGGTTGTCTGTATTTCAATTGAGATAAAACTAAACTTTACTTTTCTGCGATTTATCTTGAGGAACGCTTATAATAGATATGGTTTAATAGCTCGGGGAATGGTTACATCAATTTCACAACCTTTTTGAGATCTAGATAGATATGGGTTCTATATCTGGTACACTTTTAGCCCTCGGATTTTACGATGGGTAATAGAAAAAAAAACCAGATACTGCTGACGAGTGATGTGTAACTGTTGTAGTCGGAAAGTTGGGAAGGTATACGCAATATGGAGTTATTAACTTTTTATCTGTAATAAATCATTGTTAACGAAATGAGAATGGTTTGTAATTTTATGATTTTTAAAATATACGTTAAAATTCCAAATTAAAACGTTTAAAAAAAAAACTACAAAATAACGTTCAATTTTCTTTTGACCACTTAGTAAGACTTCTGATGGACGTCTTGTTAAATTCTCAAACATTTCTGTTCGGTCATAACAATTTTACCCACATAAACCCAAATAAAAAACAAAAATATAAAAGGTCAAATTATGTTTATAGCTCAAAAATTTTCAAAATATGTTTAACATTTACCATGTCTATGAAATTCTAATATAAGTATTCTGAGAAAATATTAGGTCTTTACAAATATATTTAACCGAATTACAATTAATTTAACCACAAAAAAAAAAACAAATGAGATGTAATTTACACTGATTAGATAAAATTTTAGTTCAGAAAAAATGCTACACATAAAAGTTGAAGCAAAATTTCTAGAAGAAAAGTGGCTTACAAATAAAAAGAAAAATAAAACCACGGATCTTAGTAGAACTAATGCATTCCTCACTGCTTTCACACTCTGAATATTCTTTTATCCCGATACAAATTCCTCAATCATTTATGTAGAAAATAATTCAAGCAATTATATATTCTCTTTTTATAGATATTTTTAAATTTGTCTTTATAAAATATTGTCCATTTATTTTATCTATTTTTTGGTAAATTTACATTATCGTCGTAAACATATTAACATAAATGTCTAGATCAAGCGTATTTCGGTAAATTAATTATTTATCCAATCAATATCAATTAAATTCATATTTTTATTATTTTGGAAATATTTTGTTCGATTTAGGAACCAATATTTTTATTCAAATAGGCACTAATGTTATAACAAAGACAGTCGCTGCAAAGTATTTGTTAACACGTCATCGAAATACAGTAATTGTAAAATTTCAAGAGTTCTAAGTCAGACATCATTTACGGGTAAAATTTGATTTAGTCTTCGTTTGTGATTCTATGAAACCAGCAATAATATATAAACGAAAAAAAAAATAAAAAAAAGAGGAAACGAAATAGAAAAACGCGCGCTGTTATTATTATTATCTCGATGTGACTTTATTTCCCAGCGATTTATTTGTGCTGAATATCAGCTGCTGCTGCTTCAGTGTATAGTGTATAGTTGTAGTACTCGTTGTCACAGAGAGTTCTTTTACAACATATTAAAACGCGAAGAATGAAAAAAAGAGAGCGAATGTTTCATATTATTATTATTATTATTATTATTGTTATATAAAGCATTCTAGCAACAGCAGCAGCAGCAGTATTAGGGTAAAAACGTTGAAAATCCTTTCAAAAAGTTTTCAATCAATCGAATAATAAAAAAAAAAAAAAAAACCTCCCAATAGTTGGCATTAAACGTTTTTTTTTTTTATATACACAAATATAGTAAAATATTTTAAAAATAATTTAGAATTAATCTGCAATAATATAATATAGTATTACATTATTAATATACGACAATAAATTTAACTCTAAAATTTAATAAATTATCATAAAACGTATAGCTGTATAATCTGCTAAATCCTTTATTTTGGTATTTTTATTTATAGATAGATAGGTATCTAACCTAACCTAGCCTAGCCTACCCAGAGTTATTATTCTTGTTATTTACATAATTGAACCATATTTGTTGACTAATTTAAAAAAAATAGCATATTTTTTTTTGAAAATTTGATCACGTCCTTTCTGAAGTACAACAAAATCAAAACAACGGGAAAAGTGATTGGGTGCTTTTTTACATTTTTTCTACACGTTTTCCCGGTTGTCCACAATTATCAGGATACGTTAAAGGAAAATAAAAAAATTCACTACCCCAATGCACCAACTAAACAAAATTTGGTCTAAAAATATGCTGTGCTTTAGACTAGATCAGAGTAAAATTATTGATTGAAAAGTTGTTTACAGATTTCAAATATTTAAAGAAAAAATGTACGCACTATGAATCTTAATAACATATTGTTCTTAATAAATAGGAACTTCTTATCGATAACTTCATTTTCATGAAAATATTTAGTATAACATAAAATATATAAATATATCTAATGTATTTTAGATTTTGAGTGGAATGAGGACTGTATTGGTTTAACAATGATGTCTATTTATTTATTTATATTTTATTTTTTTTAATTTTTCAAGGATATTTATTATAAACGAAAAACATCAGGAAAAAACGTAGGAAAACGAGAAAATTTACGAAATGTATGTGTATATTATTTTCAAATCGTAAATATTACAGCCTTGCAAAGCATGTATAACCGAACTCTGCTCAAAATCGTTAGGTACGCATTAAATGTCCCGTCGACCTTCCCAATTTCTCACTAATAACAGTGGCTCACTCATCGTGCGAAGTTTGTTCGTATTATTATTATTATTTTTTTTCTATTTTTGTTAATTTACATATGCGCGCCAGTTTCAGTACACAAACAATTAAAATTTCACCAAGACATTTTGACCTTTACTATACTCGTACATATATTGTTTTGTTGTACACTTGTGCCTACATATTACTTTCGGAAACTGTTTCAAATAACAATGTGTTATAGTCTCGTTCGATAGTTTTTTCCCCGTTTTCAAACATTCGAATCGTCGTATAAATATCGAACATAATAATTATATTATAAACTCGTCGAGTAACAAAATTAAATTATTCATCCCGTCACTTGAGAACTTGCTTTTGGTTTTTTTAGTCCGTTAATAATTTTTCGACCAGAAACCCAATCGATGAACGAAACAGATTTATTCAGATAGTGTTTTTTATATATATATCGTTCGTGCGCACTCTGAAAGTTATTTTTAGAAATAATACCTCGTAGTTCTTTTTCGTTATAACGATTATTGACGGGTTCTCGGACAAAATCGTATAGACTTGAAATGTTGAACGTAAGCAACCAACAGATGCAGGGTATCCGAAAATATCTCGAACCCATTCATTTTTTAAAATATATTTTTATACGCGCCGGATTAGAATTTGAATTTTGCATTTTTTTTTTTTTCGCGGTTTTCCTCGGTTACTCTACAAGGGGAAAAAACTACATAACTAAATAATGAGCCAAATAATTTGGGCGACACGCAGTTAAACGAGCTCCGCTGAGAATCGTTTTTTTTTTTTGCATTATCAGCATGCCTTTTTAAACTGAATATGACGTGTATAATATGATGTCCAGTTTCGATTTTTTTTTTTCTGTTTGTGTATGAAAAAGAACAATAAACCAAACGTTTATGTACGCACCTTTTTAATGATATTCGAGGCGGACACGGCTAGTGTATATAATAGAATATTATTTTTATACCGCGCGATAAAACAAAACTGTGGAACCAGAATAATAAAAGTATTAAATGTTACGATAGCAGAAACGATTTGTCGTGTTATTGAACGGGTACCTCTTAACCGTCGGAGTATTTATCCAAAACGGATAACTGTTTTTTTTTATTTATTTTTTTTTTATTTTATTTTTAATTGGATACTGCGTTATTATTATTTATTTTCCGTGCCAACGACCAAAGTATTTATCCAAAACGGATAACTGTTTTTTTTTATTTATTTTTTTTTTTTTTTTTTTTTTTGTATGATGCTCTCGCGGTCACCGCGAACCCGCCGAGTCCTCCCCCAATCACATTCAAATATTATTATAATATTAGAGTCGATCGTAACGTGATCATGACGTGCGAATACACTGCAACTCTATTATTATGACACTCGAAAAACCCGAAATTTTGACGCTACGTTGCCATATTCACATGGTAAAATGAACATGTCGTTATATTATATATACAACGTGTAATATAATACGTCTACAGTAGTTCCCGCCCAGAGCCGACGAATTTTTTCGGTTTCATCGAATTTCTCCCTGAATTATGACACTTTCTGTTATTCATACTTTAAATTTATTTTTCTGCAGTTTTATGCACTTTCAATCAAATACACTCAAACTAGGAAATCAGAATTTTTTTATAGACTGAAATTGTGGAATTGAATTAAAATATTAATTTTATCATATTGTTGCGAGAGAAGGGAGTTTCTGTAGCTCTGAAAATTACTACAAACTTCCTCCTCCCACCACCACCAAATGAAACCAGGGAATGCAACTATATATAATTTATATAGCATCATCAAAAGAGTATAAAAAATGTGCTTTTTGGTGGTTTGCCTTTTAGATTCTGAGTGGAGTAAAGAATGTATTGGTTTTACCATGTTCATTTTTTTTTTTTTATCTGTAAACAATAACTTGTCTACCATCAATTTTGCTCAAATTTTCAAATGTAGTTACTTTAAGGTGGTACATTAAGAAGGTCATTTTCTGATTATCCCAGAGGTTTTCATAATAAATGAGAGAAACTGAGAAAAAACGTGTAAAAAACGGAAAAATGTACGAAATGTATTATTTTTAAATCGCAAATATTACAGCCTTTCAAACATGTATAACTGAACTCTCCTCAGAATTGTTTTTCGTTAGCAATGGTGAATCGTTGGGTACAGATGTACATTCAATTTCCCCGTTACCTTTCCAACTTCTTACCTATAATAGTGGCCCACCCATCGTACGAAGTATGTCCGTTTGGTTTTTATGATTAACTTTTTCTAAGTATTATAATAGGTGCTTATTAAATGTATAGTATAGTATAATATAGTATTATTCGGTTAATTGGTAAATAATTATTTAAAATTAAACTCTATTTTTTATTTTATTTTGCTTGGATTGCGCTGTTTTTACGTCACTATTATTACCATATCACTATGTTAGTTTTCACTTTAATTACTTCAATCTTGTTAATTTTCTATTATTAATTTTACTATTTTAGATGGATATACCCCGTTATAACACATAGTATTGTATTATTATATTATACGACTATGAATTGTCTTTACAGAGAATATTCTTATAATTTAAAATGGGCGTGGAGAAATCCTACTCTGCTCTAAGAACCTCTGCATATTGTACGATGAGTTCAACCGATTGACATTCCTCGTCTTTACCTCGTTAAAAATATATGACGTATAAAAAAAAATGAATTAAACCGCAAGATCGTGACGAAACGATTGCCGTTTGCAATTGATTTAAAACGATCGCATAATTCGTTATACTCCATACTTAATGCGTACAGTGTTTTAAACATGTTTACACCGTTTAAACCGAAATAAAGATCCAGAAAACAAAAAATTCACGAGGAAGACGCTTTTGGGTACCGTATCTTCTTGGCCATCCCCTCACCCCTACATTAAAAATGCGGATTTTACAGCAATTAAACAATTAATGGCCAAATTTTTAATTTGCTCGAAACGATTACTAATTTACGACGAGACAATACAAGATTCTGATAAAATTAAGAACTCGTATATTCAATGTCGACTCTCGATTTTTCCAAGATAAACTTAACGCTAAAACGTTGAGTTATAGATTTATAGTGATCGATGGTACTCAGAAGTTTTAAACATTCAATATCAATACTTGGAGCTGAGGTCCTGGTGGTCCAAAATCAAAGAAATTTCGGGTTTTCGGATTAAAACCGATATTAACGACCAAAACACAGTGGCGGCGATATCATATGAGATGATTTGATTAATTTTTTTCGACAATAGAAATTGTGTACTATAGACCCCCGTAAAAACAGAGATAAAATAATAATAGGATTTAAAAAAAAAAAAAAAACTATTTATTTATTTACATAATATATGATACTTATTATTATCAGAAATAAATGTGTATATAATACTAAAATCAATGCGCGGGATGATTTAGTTAAGTATGAAAACATTCGAATTCAAAACGAAATACAATAATATGCACAATGTAAAAGTTACTGGGAATTTAATTGCATAAGCTATGTAATAGTTGTTGAAAACTATATATCCGCAGTGGTTTATCGGCTTAGAAAACTTTATTGTGCCCATTTGTAATTGAATATTTTTGAATACTTAAGTTAACAATTTTCTAATTGCATTTATGCGCGTGTATAATTATATATGTAGGTCATTCGAACCCCCCGGAAAATAGCCGAATTCGACATTGAATCGCAAGTATCCACCCTATAGGTACCTAACATATCGAACGTGTGCGTGACGAGAAAAAAATATACAGAATATATAGAACGACTCGCGTTATAAAACTTGCAAAATTCAATAAAAAAAACTGCAACCGAGACCGTGGCTGGACCGAATGTTCGGCAGAGGTTTTAAATTAAATCCTCTCTGCATTATTAACAATAACATTATTAGCGTTTATCGTGAAAATAATAAGCAATGCGTTTGAAATCAAATCGGGGAGCGGGGAGGGGAGAAGAACCTATTTCCCCCACCCCCACCCCCAGATATATAACCTTTATTGCAATTTTCAATTACTGGTTTGCTCTTATGTAGGTACGTTATTGTGCTCCTGAGTAATAAGTTTTTCCGTAACTCGACACCTCGAAAAACGGTTTAAAATGAATGTGAAAAATAATAATAAAAATAAAAAAAAAAATCGGCGAAAGGAAAACGTAAGTGCACCGTTTAAACTCGAATCCGTGGCGATTAAAAAAATATATATTAGAAATAACAAGCCCGCATTCCTTGAGACAATTAATTATTGTTACAACAGCCGGCCACTGTAAATTTTCGAAACGCTACGATCAATACATAAAAAAAAAAAAATATTATAACAACGTGTATGGAATAACAATTGTTCGAGATGTGTTGCAGGTATTATCGTATTGTTAAATTTCAAAAATTATATTTTCAACAAAACTATTTGATTGTATTTCAAGTACAAATTAAACGCATTTACTGTTTAATTTTTGGAAATTTTTTCTTCATATTTCCACCAGTCAAAAATGTTTTATAAAAATGGAAATTTCATACTACAAAATTAACGTGTTTTTCGTTTTTGCAAATAATTATAATGTTTGAACATATTTTCAAAAATCAACGTTTTTTTGGTTTTTTAGTTGAAATTCATCGGTCAATAAAAAATTATTATGTCGTTATTATTTTCTCTGTAATGTCTATTGGCGCTTTTGTCCTGACCTCAGTGAGTTAACCGAACCCTGAACACTATTGGTTGTTTTACGGAAACGAGAACGAAAATATGGTATAAAATATAAAATACATATTTTTACGCGAGCATTAACTTAATCGGGAGTATTGTGGTTTTTTTTTTTTTTTTTTTTTTTTTGTTAAATTTGTGTGGAGGGATGGGGAGGGCGTGGATTGAGAAGGTCGAGTTCAATCGTGGTAAGGGACGCTAATTTTATTTATTTTTTTTTTCATTCAATTCTCGTCATAACAATATTACAGTAGTCGCTCTTCTTTCATTTATCATTTTTTTTTTTTTTTTTTTTTTTGCTTTCCAATTTCCGAGCACCGGCACCGCGGTAATAATGTCGTTTACGTTCGGATTACATTGTTTTTCTATCCGCGGGCAAAACGACAACAATAATAACGCAATGCAATACACATATATATATAAATACATAATTTAGAATCGATTAGTAACGGAGTGAAATAGAAATATAAATCTCGGATGATCCCGGCAATACTGCGTCGGTCCGATAATAATTCGTTTTCGACACAATATAATACCGTATACGCGTGTGTGTGTGTGTGCGTGTGCGTGTGCGTGTGTGTGTGTGTGTGTGTGTGTGTGTGTGCGTGTGTGTGCGTGCGTGTGTGCGTGTGTATACGTGTGCGTGTGTGTGTGTGTGTGCGTGTGTGCGTGTGTGTGTATACGCGTTATTAATAATTTGTCGGACGGAAAATAAATCGCGCGTGACAGCGAATCACTCATACCGTGCGGCGGCGGCGGCGGCATCCTGTATGGTTTCGGTCAGCCCGCCGCAGCCGCCGCCGCCGGCGCAGCCGCCCCGCGGGCGCGAGTTCTGACAGACGGATAACGTATCGGGCGCGCGGATTAGAGCGAGTTCGGCAGCCGCGAAACGTGTTATCGTCGCACGACGGTTCGCGGCGTCGGCACCGTATCGTTTCCCGTGCGGACGGAGAACAGAACACGGCGCGCAGATTCGGGCGGACGCGTGACGTGACGTTTTCGGATTGCCCGCGGACACGACGCGGACCCGGGACGGTGTTTACGGTTACCCCCGGCGCCATTACGGTTTGTTAAACGGTCAACAGCCGCGACCGATCGATAGATAGATAGACGCCGTCGCGATAATATTATCGTTACGCGTAGCCCATCACCGGACGAAACCGAAATAAATTGGAAAACGGAAAAACACGGTATACGTTTAAAAAACAACCGCGTCAAATAGCGCGGCGCAGTCCGCTATCAGTTTACGGTTTCGACTATGTTTTGGGGCATTACACGTCGGTTTCTATCACACGGTTAATGTACTGTATACACTTTTAAGGGGTCTGTGTAGGCAACCCGCTACAGTGGTTAGCGCCGCGATGTCCCCGAGGAATACACCGAGTGTTCCGCGGTATTGTCGTCCACAGTATATTGTGATAAAAGATCATTTTCAGTCAAGTGTCTGAACACGGGTATGCATAGCACTCGGAGCCTGTATATTAAAAAAAAACGCACGAAAATATCTGACAATATGCCGTTGAAACGGGCGTGCCACTGTTGTAGGCGGATATTTTGAAAAGGTAAGCGATAGACCGCCGCTAACGAAAAACGATTCTAAGCGACGTTCGCGTTTAACTTGTGATTACAAACGAAATCACGAATATTGTCTCGAACTTTTGAGCATTTTAAAGTAGCCGAAAAAAAAAAAAACTTTCCCGCGGAAAATCGAATGCAAATGTGAAAAAAAGATTATTCTAAGATGTCTTGTGGCTATTGTAATAACGACTGAAAAAACGCCGGAACGTTTGAAAATGTTACCCTGACGTCTATAAAAAGCAAACGTGGGTATTGTGTGCGAATTTCCGGTCTCCGCGGTTATTTTTCAATGTCGACGACGCCGAATTATTACGAACGAAAAAATAAAAAAAAAAATTTCAAAATTTAAAAGTGTCCGGTAAACCGGTACGGGGACGATGTCGGTTAACCGCCGCCGGACGAAAACGATTTTCCGTCGGACACAATAATAGCACGTGCGTTCGGGGCATATTATATTATGCCTATACAGCGTATACAGAGTGTATCGGAACGTCCGAATTCCGACCGAGTGGACGAGGGCTGGGTAAATTTCCTTAGAGTGTTTTCACGGCGTACTTTGGTACTTTTACTTTCGGGAACGGGACGGGTCGGCGGCGGAGCGCGGGACGGGGCAGAGGAGTAACAGGGGGCGGCGGCGGTCGCATTAATGACGTTAAAAGCTATACAACAATGTTATTTCTGCAGAAGGAAAACGTGATAAGACGAATGTCATGATCACAAAAGGAATTGCGGCCGCGGGTCTGTCAACCCCGCGCGTAATTTAGTAAATACGATTTCCTCTCGATTATATTTCCCACCTCAGCCTCCCCTCTCCCTCACCCGCCGCCGATGGCAAACGTCTTTCCGGCCATCGCCGTCGTCGTCTTGCACAGTTTAACGACCGAACGCGGGCGCTGTTAATCGCGCGAGAATTTTTTTTTTTTTTTTTTATTTCAATACACGCGGTTATAATATCATATTTTTTTTATATATATATATATTTTTTCTCCGGGTTTATTGCTTCACGGCCCGCGGGTTGTAAAACAAAGGTTGCTTAAAACGAGTGGTATTATTTTCGGGTAGTCGTCAAATCGTAGAACCCGCGGCGACGGACCCCTCGTAAAAAAAAAAAAATAAAAAAATATGGTCCCAGATGCGCAAAAACACAGTTTTATGGAAAAATATTGATAATCGGGTGGTAAAACGATCTTTCCTCGTAGATTTTGTAGGGCGGCGAGGTCAGGTTTGGATGACCAAACCCAACTCAACGTAACATAATATTAGGTACGACGTGTGGCGCGTCACTCACCAGCACGTAGACGGCGAACGGCATGACCATGAGGGCGACCAGCAGGTCGGCCAGCGCTAGGCTGACGATAAAATAATTGGTGACGGACTGCAGGGCCCGTTCCCGGCACACGCTAATTATCACCAGCACGTTGCCGAACAGCGTGAGTATCGGGAACACGACCAGCCCGAGGGCCCAATAGTTCTTGACGATCAGTTCTTCGTAGCAACCGGTCAAGTTGTTATACACCGCGGTCGTTCCGGACAAAGGCGGGAACGCGGTGCAGTTGCCGACGGTACCGTTGGCCGCGTAAAAACCGCCGCCGCCGCCGGTAAAATTGCCGATCACGCTGTCGTCATAATACAAACCGACGCCACCGGTACCGTTGGCCTGCATCGCCGCAGCGGCCGTCCGTTCGGCCGCCATAGCGGCGGCCGCGGTGGCCGCCCGATAAGCGAGCAGCTCGACCGTGTTGACGGTGTCGGCGATAGTGTCGGCCGCCGCGGTATTATTCACCGCGGTCGTCGCGATCGTCGTCACCGCAGCCGCGGCCACCCCAGCCACCGAAGCCACCGCAGACGCCACGTCACGTGGCCGTTCGCCAGGCCGGCCACGTTTCCGTCACGTGACGGTTGGACGACAGACGCGCAGTAGTGGTTTTCATCGGGCCGTCGGTGCGAACGTACTCGGGACTACACGTCGTCCGCGGAGTGACTGGTATTAAGAAAAAAAATGAAAAAAAAAAAAAAAAAATAGTAATAATAATAATAAAAACCGTCCGACTGGCAAGCAATGCCGCGGATCGAGGAAAAAAATTCCCTATTATTGTTCGAAGGGGAGAAAAGAATTTTTAAAAAACCGCCAATATTAACAATTTTTCGTTTACGAATAAAAAAAAACACGATCTCGTCACCGGGTGGATTTCGGTCGTCACCGCACGGGCGAAATCGTCCTGTTTTCCGCACACAACGCGCGCGTTCCGTCGACTGATGGTCGTGCCGCCCGCGAAAACGGACGCCGCCGCGGACAACGCGTAGAAACGCTCGTCGTCGTCGTCGTCGCCGTCGTCGGCGTCGGCGGCGGCGACGGGTAGCGCGCGCGCGTAAGCTCGCTCACGGAGTTTCGCCCGTTCCGTCGCATCTGTGCGGGCGCTCCGTTGTGCCGCCGCCGCCGCCGCCAGCCCGCCGCCGTTAATTATCAACTTTCCGGCCGTGCACACGCCGGTATTCATCACCGGATATTATCGCCGTACGTTTGAGTTCTCCTCCGCCCGCCACCGCCCGTGAAACCGCCTCCGAGTCGTCGTCGTCCGCCGGCCGCACCGGTTGCCGCCGCCGGCCGCGGCCGTCCCATTAATCGCGCCAGTCGCGAGTTATTGTTACCGTTATCGGGACCCCGCTCGTATTATGCTATTATTATTATTATTATTATTATTATTATTATTGTTGTTATTATTATTATTATTATTATTATTATACGGGCAGGGTACGCATAACCGCGGACCGTCTTCGGCGTCACCGTGCACGTCAACTGTGTAATCGGTGTCGACGGTGATACGCGCGCGCGCTCCATCTTTATTTATCGTCGTAGTCGCGCCGCGGACACGTCCCTGGGACGCGCGACCAGCGGCGCGCCCGGCGGTCGGGGCTGGGGAGGGACGGAGGTCACAGGTATCCGTCCCGTTGGCTTAAAACCGCAACAAAATATGAGTAATCATACTATCGAAACTCATAAATTTCGGCCGATTTTCGAGAAAAAGAAAAGCTTGATGTGATATGATTAGAAATCGGAATTTTTTTTTTTTTTATTCTTTTTTTAGAATCCGGCTTTTAAATTACTTATTCCCGTGGTCAAGATACTGGGCAGAGAAGACGGTTTTGCTCTTTTTTCGCGAGTTTTATTTGGTACGTCCCCCCCCCCACCACCCATTGAAAATTCCTGGGCACGGCCAATGCACGCGACCCGCCGAAATCTCGCGGACGTAACAATAACGTAATGTAATAATAATTAGTCTCCGGGTTTCAGTGCGAAATTAGTTGTCTTTATTTTTTTGGAGGGAAGGTGGATCATCAAAGACGATATGTTTTCCGAATAAAAGCGGGACTTTTATTTAGCATTTGTCGGTTATTTTGTGCGTGTACAAAATTATAACATAAAATACAACATGAATTGACATTCGAAATGTTATTTTGTCATTTTTTTTTTCTTAAAATTCGCTCTAGTAGGTCTTAGGTATTGTAAACCGATATTATCAACACAGACTGCCATTCGTTCTATTTATAATTTCTAAAATGTTGCCTTTATGAACTTTACTAACGACACCGTGGTGTACGTATAGAGAAAAACACTTGAAATTCGGAATGTGGAGGGAACGAAAGACTGTGGACAATCGTCTTTCTATGGCTGAGGGGGTACGATTTCGAGATTACGTTCAAACTTAGATTGTTATTGTAATTCGTATTGTTTTGTTTATTATGAATTTATAATTTTTAAAATACACGGAAATTAATAATCAGTGCGTTTCGATAACGGTCCGGACACTTGTGTAATTTGTGGTATTTCAAACTTCGATGAAAATGTGTCTTTTCGTGTGCGAGTGTATCAAAACAGCTATGATTTTCTTTATTTACACATGTAAATATAGGGTTTCCGAAAAAAGGAAAAAAATGCCTAACTACTGTGCCCGTAAACGAACTAAAATTCATTTTCGGTTTGAACGTAACCTCAAAATACCGTCAGCCAGAATGAAAAAATACTACACAGTCTGTCTCTCTTTCCCATCTCGGAACATCGCGTCGGCGCTGACGTTATTAGTATGCGTGTGACCTGTCCAATCTTTATTATCTGCGGTGATGCATCGCCCGGCTTAACAACCAAACAAATCACAATGACTAAAATGCGGTTTTTATTTTTGCGTTCTTTGTTGTTTTTTCTCCGTTTTGAGAGCGATTTTCGAGGTGTTCGTCAAAGGTGTTATTACGACATGAGACATTTTTTTCCGGGGGTGGGTGGGAGGAGGTTGGATGTTTTTTCAGAGCGTTTTTCGCTATTTTTTCGGCCATTCAAAACCGGGCTCTAATACTCGTAACACTCGTGCATCGCGACGGGAGAACAAATAGATCGATAACGAAAAAAAAAAAAAAAAAAAAGTACTCTAAATATAGCGTATTTATTATAATTTATCGGCATAGGTGCCGCGCAAGAGGATATCGAATTCCGGGTTGTTGGCGTCAATATCGCGGGCGGCTCACGTGTAGTCCTGCGGAAATCCGCTATTATAATAATATTGCGATATTATAATATTGCGTAGCTGCGTCGTTATGGTCCGGTTCTTTTGGGTGGGTAACGCAACGGTGCGATGATGCCGTAAAATTTCCCGCGGCCGACGCACATTTAGGAAATCGTCGGCGTGGTGAGATGCGATGTGGCGGGGCAAGGGGGATAGAGGTGGGGGGGGGGTTAAGGGATGTTTACAAAACGCGAGGTGGCCGTGATTCTCTCGGATAAACTCAATGTACGACAACGTCTGTTACTGCGATTCCCTCGGCCGGACACGAAGACGTGCTGAAATCGCCGACCGCGTAACAATGTATTATTTTTATGGCCGGAGGGAGGAAAGAAAATAAAATCCCGGAAACGGTAGTTGCGATTTTCTATACGGGTCGATCGATCCTCGATAAGACGCTCTTCACCGCGAAAAAATACCTAGGAACTTTTAACGGGATTTTTTCCCGGCTAGCCATCCCCTCCCCCACCCCCTTTGGATGACCATAATGCTAGACGCTTCGAAGCGAGCGTCTAGATATTCCCACGACACTGCGATTTGGACAGAACTTCTCTCTTGTATATCGATGTGTTTCAAATTAAACGGCTCGCAAATTCGTTTCCGGGCCGACGATTCTCGATAACACGCATTCACTATCGAGGCGTGTATTATTATTATTATTGTTGTTGTTTTTTTTTTTATTTTACGCTTTGGACGATTTATACGAAACAAGCAGCTTCAAAACGTTACACAACTATTGTTGTTTGTCACTCTTGGTCGGCGTGGTGAAACGACAGCGTACCTTTGATTTTCCAATGGCAACCTGTGTTCCACTTTCGAGCATCCAAATACGGGTAGGGGTTAGGGGTAGTGCAGGCGCTATTCCGACGGCACGCCACACAAACGGCGCTCCGCTGTAACTGCGCTCTCCTCGTAAACACCCCCGCCCCATCCGCCAAACTTAAAACTCGACGCGTACCACACGAGTGTACGGTCCGTGACCCGCGGGGGACACGCGACAGCGTAGCGTTCTGGAAACATTACACGGCGCGCTCAAAAATTGATAAACACGCGGGGCTTATATTGTTATCGAGTACGCTTCAATCTAGAAATGTCGATGTACAAATGTTATTATTTGCAGAACGAACAAGTCCCCCTCGGGCCCGCTTATATTGCACGACCGTAACACAATATTATACACGGGTGTATACACGCGCACGCACACGCACAAATGAATACAGGTATACTACCCACACCCGCCGTGTCCATATTATACTGTTGACCAGACTTAACCTCAAAACCGATTCGGCGCCACCGGACGAAACAATAATAACAACAATATTATTATTACTGTTATGTGCATAAACGCGTTTGTCGTCGTTGTCGTTGTCGTCGTCGTCGTCGTCGCCGCCGCCGCCGAGATCGTTGTTATTGCGGGACGCGGCGAGTCCCCCCCCCTTGCTGCCGTCAATAATTAACTGACCGAAACCCGTTGGACAATCAAACGGCTGCAGTGTTATCAAAACGACGGCCGCGGCGATGTACAATAATATTAATATTAAACACTACGCGTTAGTGTTGTTATTGTTGTTGTACGCCCCGTGCGCGCTCGGTGCGGGCGACATAAATGGAATCGTTTTTATTTAGCGTTTATATTATTATTATTATTACACTAGATCGTCAATAATGCAGAGTTGGTGTCGGACAATAATATCGACGACAATAAGCGCGCCCGAACAACGCCAAAAATGTATTTTAGATTCCGAGTGGAGCGCAGAAGCTTATGGTTTTACAAAGACATTTATTAGTAATTTTTTTTTTTTATTATTATTATTTATCTGTGCGCAAATTTTCTATCGGAAATTTTGATCCGATTTTTAAGTGTAGCGCCTTTTCTAAAAGCAAATCGGTGTGGGGACGTATTTTAAACATGTAATTTTTCGATTTTCCAAGGAGTTTTCTCCTCATCAAATTTGATTTAACTATTTTACGATTTAGAATGATATCACTTTTTGCGTAAGGAAATTTGGGAAGGTACTTTAGAGAGGGCATTTTTTTGGTTTTTCCCAGAATTTTTATCAACAAACGGGAAATAACGGAGGAGAAAAACGGGAAAATGTATGAAAGGTAAGTATTAGTTAAAAAATATCTCGACCTTTTTTTTCCTATGTACAACTTTTCTACAAGCGATTTGACTCAGATTTACAATGAAAAGACTTTTTCTGAAAGGAAATCTGGGAGAGTAGTGGAGCACTTATAAAACGCCACGCGCCATACCGTCATACAAATTATACTCCGATACTCTCCCCTCCCTAAAATCAAAAGTGGAATATCTCGTTAACGGGTTGACGAAAATCAAAAATGTTGACACTTCAATTTATTTAAAGTAATACTCCGTCTATTTGTGGAATTTCTCATGAAAAGTTCTTATTTTAAAAACCACAGTCGCTATCGCTACAGAATACTACTTAAATATTTTGAAAAATCTCTAGAAAGAAAAAAATGGGGTGACCACGCTTAGTGAATCACTCTGTATATAATATATTCAGCATAGACGAGTTTGAAAAATTGTATCCGACATGAGCATTCGAATTGAATGTCATTCGAAGTGTAACATGTATTAATTTCCTGACTCTTAAATTATGATTTTTATAAAATATGTTAAGATGATATCCCTGCTTACGGGTAAATTAATACCACGCCAATGTCACACAAATCGACTTTCGGACTGTTAAAACCACGCCAGAGGTCGAAAAAAACCAATGAGCTTTCGTCACGCTTCAACCAACGTACATATTCACATATTATAATCACAAATTATGTACAATAGTAGGTAATGAATAAACTATAATTCGTTATACTATAGTTATATTCTTAAATCATAATTCAAAAGTAAGGAAATTAATACACGCTACTACTTGAATGACATTAAATTCGAATATAAATATATCGAGTACAATTTTTTT